GCTCAGTCGGTTAGAGCATCGTCTCCATACGACAAGGTTGCAGGTTCGATCCCCAGTCAGGGCACATACAAGAATCAACCAAGGAACGCATAAATAAGTGGAGCAATAAACTGATGCTTCTCTTTCTCTCTCTCCTTTCCTCTCTCTCTAAAAATCAGTAAAAATTGTTTTTAAAGAATACGTGATTATTGGGCACTACCCACATTCCCTTCATTAGACTCTTCTGATCACCACGCTGCCCATGGGCCCTGCTGCCTACGGGTATCACACCCTCCTTCTGTCCTGGAAATGAAATTCTGCTCTTGCCTCTAGTACCCAAGGAAACTGGTGTCCACGCCCCCGAAATCAGCACCATCTCCTAGCATACCTGTGACCACCCACAACAACCTCTTAGAATCACATCCGTAACACCATCAATGAGAAGGTACACTGTAGTTTCCTGAACCGCGTAGGTGGGAAGAAAACCACTGGCAAAGTGTGATGATGTACAATAATTTATAATACATCCTCATTGCAGAGACATGAAAAGTGTGCATCTTAGGATGCACGAAACACAGTGCTTCTCCAAGCCTTGGTGGGGGGAGGCATGTGAGCTCTTTTAGGGACCAAAGTTAAAATGCGAGTGAACAGGTCACACGTGATAATCCACTCTAACACTCTTATCTCGCTAAGACCTGAGATTCTTCCTATTCTTTACCCCAGGGTACCTCTGGTAAGTTAACTTGATGTAATGTGGACTGCCATGGAGCCCGATTGCAGTCAGCCAGCTACGGAAACTGTTTAGAGCTGTTTGCAGCTGCTTGCATCAGCATACTGAGTCCAAAGTCTGTGGTACGCATCCCTGTATGGATAAGCTCAGCCTGATAGAAGACTATGATTACCCCTTCTGTTCTAGCACCCTCATATTATATTTTTTATACAGTTTAAGATTTTTTAAAAAGATTTTATTTATTTATTTTTAGAGAGGAAAGGGAGGGAGAAAGAGAGAGAGAGAGAAACACATCAATGTGTGGTTGCTGGGGGCCGTGGCCTGCAACCCAGGCATGTGCCCTGACTGGGAATCGAACCTGCGATGCTTTGGTTCGCAGCCCGCGCTCAATCCACTGAGCTACGCCAGCCAGGGCATTATATTATATTTGCCAGAGTTTATGCAAATTTTTAAAATCCTCACCTGAAGGCATGTTTATTGATTTGAGAGAGAGAGAGACTGATGTGAGAGAGAAACATCGATCCGTTGCTTCCCTCACGCACCCTGACTGGGAATGGAACCCACCACCTTCTGGTGTGCGGGACGATGCTCCAACCCGCTGAGCCACCTGGCCAGCGCTATGCAGATAATTTTTGGTGTAAGCCTTCTCCTGGGTCAGATTCTGTCTCTCTCTTTCTGTGGCACACTGGAGTCTGACTGCTTTTATAGGTTTGGGGAAAATGAGGCGTGTGGAGATGAGGGGGAGGAAAGGCTTTCTCTGCCAGTGAGCTCCAGTGAATTACTAAGAGTTCTCACGCAAGGTGGTAACTGCGTCATCAGACAGGGTAGCTGTGACTGAGTCTCCTGGCAAGTGAGCTCCGGTGCAGACTGAGACGCAGAGGTACTCCGATGCTTCTGCATTCGCTCACACATCGCCATTCCGATTCTCAAGGTCCTGTGTATTTTCACATCAGAGAACTGGGGAGGTTATGAGTGAAACAAACACTGTAACTTGGCAACTCATAGGATCAAATGTTTAAGTCTGACTCTTGATCTCCTCGGCTTTTCCACTGCCAGCAAGCAGAGCTTCCTTGACTGTAGGTAGCCTCAGAAAATCTCTGGTTTTCAGTCGGTGCTTTGATAGGAGGATTTAGGAATTAGAATTCATCTCTTTCTGTAAGCCAGTGGTTTTCACTGTAGTGACTTTTGTCTCCCCCAAGGGGACTTTTGGCAATACCTGGGGGCATTTTTTGGTCTCTCAACTGGGGAGGGGTGTACCCATTACTGGTGTCTGGCAAACAGAGACCAGGGATGTTGTTAAATATCCCGTAATGTATAGGATAACCTCCTGTGGCAAAGAAGTATCTAGCCCCAAATGTCAATAGTTGTGGGGCTGAGAAGCCCGTTTTAACCACTCTGCACAGGGAGAAGTGACCATTCCTTTCCACACCCTTTAGTGCCTCAAGTATGCCCATACTCCCTTCAGTAGTCCCGTATCTTTGGCAAAAAAGATACGGTGACATGATCAGATATAAGAAGCACCATTATTATTACTTTTAAAATATTTTATCTTATTTTTGATTTTAGAGACAGGAGGGAGGGAGAAAGACAGGGTGAGAAACGGCGGTGTGAGAGAGAAATATAGATCGGTTGCCTCAGGCACACACCCCAACTGGGGATGGAACCCGCAACCCAGGCCTGTGCCCTGACCGGGGATTGAACCAGCGACCTTTTGGTTTGCAGGAGGATACCCAACCAACTGAGCCACACCGGCCAGGGCAGAAGCACCATTATTTTATGAACCATGGGGGCAAAACCACGGTCAAACCATAGCACCACAGTGATCGTTAACACTCACCCAGGCGCCTGTGTCCTTCACTCTACTGTGCGGCCGCACGCAGCGCTGCCCAAGCCACTTCGCGGACACTTCGGTCTAGACGACAGGTGGCACTGTGACTGCTTCCCTTAGAGTCATGTCCCTAAACACTTGCAAAATTTCAACTGCCTTCCGTCCCAAGTGGGCCCAATAACTAACCTTTGAAGTCCTGTTGCCTGCAACACTCCAGATACAAACTTCTGTTTCTCAGCAGCAAAGTGTGTTCAGGTGGGCATGCGTACACAGGCATCGGGCTGTTGCCCAGCTCGCAGAGGAGCTGGAATGACTGGAGAGGGCTACCAGGAATGTCACCTACGTCGGGCTACAGAACTGGTCCGAAGAGGCCAGCACTGCTCACCAGCGCCAGACACGCGGTGCTGCGGCTCCGGCTTTGGACCGGCGCCCAGCACCGCCTCCACGGCTGCTTGTGCTTGAGCATCGCCTCACTGTTGCTGCTGCTGCTGCTGCTGCGTCCGAGCTCCCACTGCTCCGCCGCCTCTTCACGCACTGCCCGGCAGGGAAGCGTCTTGTTCGCGCCAGCTCAGCACGCGCTTGAGCTCCAGTCACGAGGGAGGCTGGACCGCCAGATACCTGGCCTGGCCAGCAGCTGCGGTAGGAGGCAAGTCCTGCTGCCCTCGGCCTCACTGTGTGGGGGATTCCCCGGTTATAGGGAAATGATAGCTTCCAATTGGCTCCAAAGAATGGCAAAGACCTGCTATACCCCTGCATAGCTCAACTCTCCCTTCTGCTCAAGACAGAACACCAGGTATTGCCTTGCATTCTCCTCTTCACTTAGACCATCAGCAGATAGTCGGCTTTGTCTCCAAAATGTAGTCTTGAATCCATTCTCTTTTCATCCCTTGTGTTAATAAGTTAGTACTGTTACCCATTTCACTGGGTTCCTGTCATAGCCTCTTGTCTTCCCAAGTCTACGCTTCCGCCCTTCAAATCCATATATATTCTCTGAAGCAGCAAGAGAGTGTTTCTTTGTAAATCCCCCGATAAAACCTAGCTGTAGCCCTCACCCATGTGGCTCAGTTGGTTGGGCATATATAGTCCCACAAAGCCAAAGGTCGCCGGTTCAATTCCAAGTCAGGGCACATGCGTGGGTTGTGGGTTCAGTCCCTGGTTGGGGGTGTGTATGAGAAGCAACTGATCGATGTTTCTCACATCGCTGTTTTCTTCTTTTTCACCTTCTCTTCCCCTCTCTCTAAAAATAAATAAATAAAATCTTTTAAAAATGTATTCATTTAAAAAGGGTTATGTGCTTTAAAGCCTTCAATGGCTTTCTTTTTTTTTTAAACTTAGAATAAAGCTAAAGTCCCTATTTGGTCTCTAAGGAGAGTGATCTTACATCCTATTTTACGCAGGGTGTGATTTTTGAGAGAGCCTCCTGTATTCTCAGAAACACGTGGTCTGGCCAGTAAATTCCTGTCACTTTCCCTGTAAGGCCCTATGCCCCTGCCCCTCCCCTCTGCGCACTAAATGCCATTCACACTTGTCTTCTCTTGGCTCTTCTCTGTACTTCGGGGCCTTTGCAGGTTCTGTTCCATCTGCCTGGTACACTTTTCCTCCCATTTCCCAGCAGAGGTTTCTGCTTGTTACCCTTCAACTCCCAGCTTAGCAGGGACCTCTGAGCCTCCTTTCCTGAGCTCTCCATCCAACCAGCTCCTTCCTGCGCTCTGAGGTTCCGTTGCTCTGTCTGCTTGTTCCATCTCCGTCTCACTCATCAGAGTGGAAGCTCCCTGAGAGTCTGGATGGTACATTTCAGTCATCGCTGTGCCCCAGGGCCTGACAGGGAACCTGGCATCTGATGGTGCCCTCAATAAAGAATTTGTTAAACAAGTAGAGGAACTTCACACCCTGACCCCTGACAAGGATGAGCCATCACGCTGACCTGTCCTCTTTTGCCTGCCTCACAGTGAACTTGGCAGTAATTGGTGTTGTGTTAGCCTGGTCGTCAGTTTCTCCTTCTGGATCACAAGCCTGGAGAACGGGCACATCTCTCTGGCTGTGCTTAGAACAGGGCAGTTCAACAGGCAGGGGTCTGTCGGGCCTTCTTCTGCAGGGTCACCTGCCTGGGGGCTGGGGAGCAGGAGGCACCGGTGGTCCCGGCAGCCTGGCTCCGCAGTGGCAGGGTGCAGGGGGCCCTCGGGGAGGGCAGGGACTTCACGGTGGGTGCTGCACACAGTGGGATGATAGGCCTCACCTTTCTCTTCAGCACAGTTTCCCTTGACTTTCCCTGCTTCACTGTCAGTCTGCCTCTTAGAGGCTTCTTGAAACCCCAGGGAAATCTGGGCACATCCAGAGCCCAGGCCCGCAGCAAGGCAAATGGCAGAGCTGGGAGCAAGGCCCCCGGATCCTGGGGAGGAGCTGGAGAAGGGGCAGGGAGGAACTTCCAGCTACCGGCCTAACTTGATTCTGTGTTGTCTTTAGATATAAACCCTACCTCCATGAAAATGTCTACGACAAAGGATCCAGGAACAACTACGCCGACCAGTGGCCCTCTGCGGAATGCAACCACAGCCCCGCCAAGCACAAAACACTCCACAGAACCCAGTGGCTCAGGCGTCTCCAGTACCACTGTGGGCGACCAGAAGGGTGTTCAAGGTTCAGGCCAGGCTGTTCAACCAACCCAGAAGACTGTCCCAGTTCCCTCGACAAAGCCAGCAACCATAACCAGCCAGGAGAGAAATAATGATACAGCTCCAACAGGAATCCCAGGTAGCCACAAATGTGTTGCTACAGAAATCACAGCCACCACGGGAAGAAGTCAGACAACTCCTCCAACTCTGCATGCGGTTAACAGCACGGGCACCCCTCCTGCCACTCCTTCCTCGCCCGTGCCAACAGGCTCTCCACAAGTGTCTTTGAGCCCCACTGCTCTGAATGCCCCAGGGAGCTCACCCAAAGGACCCCCACCGTCAAGGAGTCCAGACATGATGACGAGCCACACCACACCTCAGGGGACGACTAATACACCCAGTGAGTGATGCCTTTGATTTTCAAACAAGAGGGACCTTTAAAATGCTTAGAAACTATATAGTGGTTCAGCTGGAAGATGGAGATTCCGGCCGAGGGTTAAAGGCTGTTGAATACACTCCACCTGTATTCCGCCCACTTCCTGTTTCCATGTGGAGCAGAAGCCCACAGGGCTGTGCGTCCTGAGGGGGGGCCAGTGGCACGCCCCGCCCGGGCGGGCACGTGAACCAGCCCGTGGTCTCTTCGTGGGCGGGACACTGGGAGGTCTCAGCGGCGGGGTGTTACTAGAAATTCTCCCATGAGATTGACGGCTATCTGCCATAAAAACACACTTGGGTTTTACCCATACATGATGCAGTACACATACATATAAGACACATGTAATGTGCACATGGCTGGTACAGATGTTCACTGACAGGGCTTACCCTTCCTCTAGGGGGCGCACCCTGATCTTTTCTGTTACATTCCACTCCCCCCGCCCCCCGCCCTCTTTAAAGGGCTGATCTGGTCTAACCCAGGAAATTACTTTCAGAACTCACTGATGGGTCACGAGCCATGTCGGGTCTATTGAATCAGGATTTCCTCAAGCAAACCTGAGACCCTGTGTTTTCTTGACCTCCCCAGGCAGTCTGGGTGCATACTGAGGTTCACAGACTCCGCCGCTCCAGAGTAGGGCGGTCGGGTCCTGCTGCAAGAGCAAGAGCTCTAAGCTGGAGAGACCAGGGTTCCAATCCCATCTCTGCCACTTGTGAGCATGTGACATTAGGCAGATGGTCATGCCACCGTGAACTTCAGTTTCCTTGTTTATAAAGCAGGGAGAATTATGATACCTTCCTCCTGGCATTGTCATGAGGATTAAATTAAGAAAGTACCTTTGGGCCCTGGCAGGTGTGGCTCAGTGGATTGAGTTGCCAGTTTGATTCCCAGTCAGGGCACATGCCTGGGCTGTGGGCCAGGTCCCCAGCAGGGGGCGCGTGAGAAGCAACCACACATTGATGTTTCTCACCCTCTCTCTTTCCCTCCTTTCCCCTCTGTCTAAAAATAAGTGAGTAAAATCTTTTTAAAAAAAGTACCCTTCGAGCACTTCCGACAGTCCCTCCAGGAAGTCGGCACCTCACTTGATGCTAGCTATCGCTGCTGATGGCACGGTCACTGCTGCTGTTTCTTTAATTCTGTTCCCACACAGGCTCATCCAGTCTGGCCCATCCTGCAATTTGTTACAGGAATTGGCCTCTTCGGCCTTGTCTTCCTCATGGGCCGCTTATTCCAGTTTGCAGTGTAGGTCGGGGATAAGACCAAACAACTGAGGAAACTAAGTGCAGGAAGACTGGCCTTTTTCTCCTAGAGGTACCACTCCTCCTTTCTCACTGCCTGTTTTCCCAGCCATAGCCCCATCGGTTACCTCAGCCGAAAATCAACAGACCTACTACACCAAGACGCCAGCTGTGACTGCATCCACTCACGCCGTCGCTGGGACCATTCCCTCTGTCCCTGGGGCCTCTCCCTCCATCGCTGGGGTCTCTCCCTGCATCGCTGGGACCTCTCCCTCCATCACTGGGACTCTGCCGCCCACAGTCTCTCCATCAGGACCTGTGACCCCGCCTTCTGTCAGACCCACGAGCTCCAGCACTCACTTGGCTCCAACTGCCCCCCAAGACTCCAACATCCCTTTTTCTACCTCAGCTCTTAAGGATAAGATGGTAATTCTAGTGGGGGACGGGACAGCGAGTGAGCGCAGGCTCTGATGGAAGGGGCTCTGGGAAGAGTGTTTCTGTTCTTCTCTTCAGCCTGGGGCCCCTGGCTAGGGTGGGAAGGACCAGTCATCCAACCATTTCTAACCCTAACCCCTGGCCCCCCCCCCACCCCAGATTCTGGCTTAGACAGCCCGATAGCCCAGTAACACACCTGGCTCTGAAACCCTGGCCCAGCCCAGCCCCTGGTCACCAGGAACTCCTTTTATATCTCATTCGCCCAGGGGGAGGGAGGGAGGAGTCAAAGATGAGGTCCCGTCAGCCTGAGCCTGAACCCTAATCCCAGTGGCTTCTTGCAGATTAAGTGTGAGCCTCCCAAAAGGCTGAACGAGACGATGCTCATCCTGAACGTCACGAAAAACGACCTGTGTGTGAGTACCTCGCTAACCTAAGTCCCACCCTGATTTCCACCTCCAAAAGGGTGGAAGGGAATGAAGGGTTCCTTTGCAGAAGGGGCTGAGGGATGCGCTGGCTTCCCTGGTCTTGTTTCGTCCCAGTAGGAGGTAGCGCCTGCCCACCTTGTAGAGGGACAAAGCCAGAGTGGGACTTCTCTAACTGAAGCCGCACCCGCACGGCTGCTGTAGGGCCCGAAGCACCAGGTCTCCTGGGCTTTCTAGGGAACTTGGTCACTTGCTCTGAGAGTGTAGAGACCTCACCCTTAGTTCTTGTTGGCCTCTAGCTCAGGGTGACTTTGAGTCTATCTCTTTGGGCTTTAGAGGCCTCAATTAAAAAAAGAGTCTTGCCCCAACCCATGTGGCTCAGTTGGTTGGAGTGTTGTCCTATAGATCCAAGGGTTTGTGGGTTCGATTCCTGGTCAGGGCACAAGCCTGGGTTGCAGTTTTGGTCCTCAGTTGGGGTGTATGCGAGAGGTAACTGATCAATCTTTCTTTCCCTTTGTCTCCCCCTTCCCCCCTCTCTAAAATCAATAAGCATGTCCTCAGGCAAGGATAACTTTTTTTTTAATTAAATGAGAGGCTTGGTCTGCTTAAATCTCTCTGTTCTCATTGTCTGGTTTTGTTTTCTGGCCCATGGCTTCAGTGGAAGAATAGCACGGAGGGAGCCCTCCCCTAACCTGAGAAGGCCGAGCTCCTGAGCATCAGAGAGCCATTGCCAACAGTTGTTCTTCTACTTGGGGTGGTGTGTGTGTGTGTGTGTGTGTGTGTGTGTGTGTTGGGGTGCAGGTCTCAGTGTGCATGTGAGTACATTTTTTTGCATAAAAACAAGAGTGTAGCAGTGTGTGCCTTCACACTGCCAGTCTCTGAGACTTAGGGTTTTCCTCAGTGAATGGCTAAGCTCTGTGAGTGCAGGTGATGGACGGCTCACTGCTGCCCTCTCGTGGTCAGTTCCTATTTTCACTAACACCGGTAAGAACTAAACAGAACATTGGTTTCTAAGGATGGAGAACTTGGCTTTACGGCACTTTAATGGCCTGTATTTTTTGCAGTGGTTTCCTTGTGGGTGTCCATGTTGCTGGTATTTCCCAAGTGAATTTTACAAAAGCATACCTATAGACCAGAGTTTTCAAAGGGAGCAAGCAGTGTCCCTCTGAGGTTGAGCTCATTGGACCAGGCAGGGTCTGCCACTGACACCTTCCCCCGGGCCCTCTTTTTGGCTAAAACTTGGCAGGTTGTGTCTTTGGGTGTGAGAAGCATTTTTTCTGTCTCCTATGAAAGGAAGGCGGAAAGCCCTGGATCCCTACCTGGGGCCAGGCTGGGGAATTAGTAAGCCTAAGGAAATTCTAGGCAGAACCCCAATAGATGGCGGGGGCAGGTGGGGAGGGTTCTGAAATAAGCCAGACCCCAAGGGTCCTTTTCTTCATCTCGGTCCCTTATTCCAAACTCGGGCCAGGGGAATGTCAGCCCTCTGGATACCGCTGGGTAGCAGGGCGGGGTTGGGTAAAAGCTGCCCACACTCAGCTTCTTCCCCCTCCCCCCAAAGCCATGTCAGCCCAGCTCTTTTTGCTTAGAAATATAGAAAGCTCCCTCCCAAGACATCTCTTGGTGCATCTCCAAGATGCCCCCACAACCCCCCAGTCAGTGGTGGCCCGGCCTTCCTTCCTGTTGTCCCACTTTTGGTGTCAGAGGGCCTGAGCCTAGGGGACAGCACACGTGTGCACTGCAGGACAGGTCACCTTGATCAGAGAGCCGCGCGTCCTCTCCTGAGGCCTCTGGGCTGGGCCTCAAGGCTGGAGAGAGGTCCCCAGAGAACTGGTCTTCCCCGCGGGCACTGCCTCCTGTAGCCCCTTCTAGGGAGAGGGGTAATAAAGGGCATTAGATCGTGACCCTTTAAAAGCTTTGTGGGAGAAAAGGGTGCTACAGTGAAAGGTATTGTCGGCCATAGAAAGGATACACAGGGAGAGGGGGCTGGGGCAGAGGTTGGCATGGGGCCTGGGGGGCAGGGGCAGGCCCTGGAGAACAGCACAGGAGTCATGACTCCTGGCAGGCTTGGGAGTGGCCCCAGTGCAAGCTGGAGAGGGGAAGAGGTTCGTGCTGGGAACATCGTCCTCCGGGCCCCGAAGGGCAGCCCCACCAGCCTAGGCCACGGGGGAGTCACCTGCGATCTCCCACAACAGGCAGGGAGCCCTTCGGATGACAAGTTGGCCGCACTGCTGTGCCGAGCAGCAAAAGCCAACTTCGATGCAAGTCGCGATCAGTGCCATATATGGTTGGTCCCGTCTTCAGACGTCCAGGCAGTGGCAATCAAGGAGATCACCGTCCAGAGTGAGTTGGGGACAAAGAGGGGCTGAGCCCTTCGTGGGGAGGGAACGGGGAAGGGGTGACAGTTCGGGAGCCGTGGAGATGGGTCACTGCTGGCACTCCCTCAGTTTCCTACCAATTGAATTGCCAAGCCATTTCCCCTCCCAAGGCCCGCCCAGACACACCGCTCAGAGGGCAGAGACACAGCATGTCCCCCTGTTGGGGCCCAGTCTCTGTCCCGTCCCAGATCACTCTGAGCTGGAGCGCTGAAGCATCATCTCCCCCTCCCCCACAGCAAAGCTCCTTCCCAAGGACATGTACGAACTGCTGAAGGACAAATGGGACGACCTCAAGGAGGTAAGGTGGCCCCCCCCACCGTGTGCTGGAACAGATGGGTCAGGAGCCTGTCCCTCGGGAGTCCCCAGTCACTTTGCTCCACAGTGTCTCTCTCGTGGTAGACGAACCTCTAATCTGCAAGCATCTAGAAGACCGGAGGACATGGGCGGGGACAGCAGGGCAGTGTCCTGAGCCCCACCGATCCCCAGGCGGAATGATACACGGGAGTTGAGAGACAGGGTGACCGGAACCTGCTTGCCTCTCTCTTTGCTGGCCAGGTGGGCGTCAGTAACATGCAGCTGGGGGACCAGGGGCCGCCGGAGGAGACTGAGGACCGGTTCAGCATGCCCCTCATCATCACCATCGTCTGCATGGCGTCCTTCCTGCTCCTCGTGGCGGCCCTCTATGGCTGCTGCCACCAGCGCCTGTCTCACAGGAAGGACCAGGTGAGGGTTTCGCTCTTCTGGCCAGGGAGGCAGACCAACCCACCGGGTGACTGTCACCCAAACTAGAGCAAAGTGAACGGGCCATGGACCCATGGACCCAGGCAGACACGAGCGGTCGTCACAGAAACAGACACCGGCCTGGCGGGAGGGGAGCGCGTGGGCTTCGGGAGCCAGAAAGACTTGGTTTGGGCCCTAGCTCTGCCTCTCTTGTCACCTGTGTGACCTTGAGCAAGTCATGCAATCCCTGAGCATCAGGTTCCTCATCTGCATTGTGGGGAGAAGACCCACCTTGCCGAGCTGCTCCGAGGAGCCGCTGACGTCAGTGGGCGCAAGCGCCCCTGTCTAGCCAGGAGGAGTTCCTTCACCCACCTGACTACAGTTCTCCTCGTTACGCTTCCCCCCAGACTCAACCCCAGTTCTCGACCCTGGCTGTGCACTGTGGGGGCTCTAAAAACATTCCCATGCCCGGCAGCTCCGCACTGTAACCGAGTGCAGTCTCCAGGTCAGTGTGTTGGTCAAAAGCTTCCCAGGTGACTCGACTGTGCTCCCAGCTTGTATCATAAAGACAGAGAGAAAGCACGGTCCCCAGACAGCCCCTGTGTGCAGCAGCGGTGTCTGTGTGCTCCGCTGTACCCGGCGTGCTCGGGCTTGGAGAGGTCCTGGGCCGCCGTCCGGATAACGTGTTCTTGCCGCCCCTTCCAGTTCGGTACAGCGGGGTGAGGCCGGGGCCTGGAGAGGAAGGTTCATGGAGAGGGAATGGAGGGAAGAGCGTGAAGCACTCTTGAGAACAAAGTCCATTTGCTGTGACTCCATGGCTTTGCCAGCAGCGTGACGGTGAGGGGAGCTGGGAACTTTAGGAAGCCCTCATCTCCAGCCTGCCCCAAAGCAGGCCAGTAGGCAGGAGCACTGACTGCTCGTATGAGCCAAACTGGGGTGCCTGTGCTACCTGGAGACTAATAGTCCCCGCAAATGACCTTTTTTCCTTGGCTCCTCCTCCCCACTCCAGCAACGACTCACAGAGGAGCTGCAGACGGTGGAGAACGGGTACCATGACAACCCAACGCTGGAAGTGATGGAGACCTCCTCAGAGATGCAGGAGAAAAAGGTGGTCAACCTTAACGGGGAGCTGGGGGACAGCTGGATCGTCCCCCTGGACAACCTGATGAAGGATGACCTAGATGAGGAGGAAGACACCCACCTCTAATCAGGTCTGCTGGCGGCCGCCGACAGTGCCACGAGATCTGGACCGAACCACCTCAAGTGCCGACTGGACCAGGGAGGAAAGTCCTCCCCATCTGAGGAAAAGACTGGGGTGGGGGCTGAGCAGACTCAGAGGGACCTGCCTCCCAATCCCCACAGGGCCTTAATTTTTCCCTTTTCAAGCTGAACAAATCACACTCTGTCTAGATTCCTCTTGTAGCATAACCCACTAGTGCCTGAGCTCAGAGCTGCTGAAGATGAGAGGAAGAGAAATGAAAGAAAGAGCCATCTAAGGGACTTTAGAGATCATCTGGTAGAATCCCTCCCTTCCACAGATGAGATGACTGGGGCCGGAGGAGAGTGAGGTCAAGATCACACAACTACATGGCGACAGAGTCAGAGTGAACACAAAGGTTCCTTCTTCCGTCCAGTGCTCATTCCCACCTCGCCACCCCGCTCTGGTCACTTGCGCTCTCCCTGCGGAGCTGCCGTGGGCAGCGGGGAAGCTGCCAGTCTGCGGATGGGATAGAAGGGGGAGCCGGGCCAGGTCCTGTCTCGGTGGGATCCGATTACTTGAAAGTGTAGGGCCCAGGTTCAGTCTCCTACCCCAGCCTCCACTGGCAGGGCTCCCGCCCCCTTTGCTCTTCGCCCTCCCTTCGCTCAATTTTTACTCCCATTCTGTCTCAGGGCCCTGGAGCTAACACAAGTCATTCCTGACCTTGAACCCCTTGTTCTGACTTCTGGTTTCTTGGCATTTGCTTAGTGAGATTGGGACTTCGTCCACACAAGACCCCAGGGGCACGAGGTCTGCTTAGGGTTCTGTCCACAGGTGAGCAGCAGGGGAAGCCCTTCCTCCTGGGATGTGTCCTGGCCCGTCGCCCGAGGCGCTCCTATTAGGGCCCCCCCAAGTGTTCCCTTGGCCTCCCAAGGGCACCACCGGGGACTGAAACCCACAGCAGCTACTGAAGGCAAACGGCTCCTATTTGGTCTGTGCCCTGCTTGTCCAATGGGGGTGGGACCCGAGCTAGGGAGCCCCGCCCCCTGAGGGCTGGCGTGAACCAGCAGCTTCAGGACGCTGTCCTGGGACCCCCGACGGGGGTGTGCCAAGAGACAATCGGTAGAAACAGCCAGGAAGGACGGGCTTTACTGTCTCATGGGAAATTCGGGGACTTTTCAAGTTGCTGAGAGTTTTGTTATTTTGATGTAGTTGTTTGTTTGCTTGTTTGTTTGTGTTTTAAATCCAGCCCTCTACTGCCAAAGGCCAAAGCTCAAATGACAGGGAGACTTTCAGTTAGGTCATCTCACCGACTGCAAGTCTCCAGTAGCCACAGGGCGAGAAAGGCCTGGAATGTTCAGTGTGCGTTTTAAGGTGCACGCGGGGCCGCTCGGGGGACTGGCCGTCTGTCTGTCCTCAGCAACCTTACTCTTCTGCCATGGAACCGTGTCCTCTTCTCTGTAGTCCTGCAGTTTCTGGCGGCATCTCAGGGAAAGAAAATAGCGCCTGTTTCTCAGTGGAGCACGTGGAGGGGGCTCAGCAGCTAGTGGCCATGTGTGTGGCGGGCACCTGAGGACTGGACATGGTGAGGTTTAATTTGGTTTTCTGAGAAGGCAGAATCCTGTGTGGAATTTTGGACTTTGCCCAAGGTCTCTTGTTCCTGGGCATACATTTCCTGGAACCAAACGAGGAAGATGGGCAGAACTGCTTAGGAGAATGAAAATGGCCATTTCTGGGCAAAAAGCCAGAAGTCCAAAACCTAGAGGCAGGCCCAGGCTGCGACAGCTCTGATGAAATAGGCTCTCTGCTTTGGGATATGTTCTTAAAAAAAAAGAAAGTGGGGGTGGGGAGGAGCTCAGGGGAAAGATGGATATCCTTCCCCAGCTGCCTGATTCTTCATTGCTTTTAGCCCTTTGGCCTTGGAGTTCAAGTTGGCCCCAGTGAATTTCCCAACAGCTAGAGAGATGCTAGGCTAACAAGGATCCCAAAGCATTTGCCCTGTGTCTCCAGTATGTAGAGGCTGGCAGGGTGGAGAAGGGCAGTAGTTTTCGGGGAAAGAGAGGGAATCTTGTCACGCTGGGAAAAGGTCTGATTTCTTCCTTCTTGGCCAGTATTTGGTTCATTCCACCCAGCGGGTTTCAGGTTTCCATCACGACCCCTTGGGGAGAGGCCAGAAGCATTCTACTGCTTTGCTGATTCTGGGTCCTGCTTCACCAGCCAGGCCCTTGGACAGAGACAGCAAATACGTCTCTGAAAATTGACCCCGGCCACGCCCCGCAGGCCTGTTGGGGAGAGAGATGGCGCCCGGCAGGGATTAGCGAGTGACAGTTACCCTGGGTGGAGAGCTGGTTCGGAGGTTCCTTCGTTTGGCGCATCCAAACTGTGTTGCTCCAGCCTTTCAGGGCAACTGCAGAACTGTCGACTGTCGAAGACAGCCGTGCATCCGTAAGGGCCACGTTCTTCCCGTCTCTGCACTGGGCTCTGACTGCTGGCTGGCAGTGCAGACTCGGGGGCTGAGGAGGGAGGGGAGGAACAACCAGAATTCCTCACAACTTAAGACAAGTTGTACTGCAGGGAGATTGTGAACTCTTGACTTCAGTGACACACTGGTTTCCATAAGCTGCAGAAAAGGCCAGCATGACTGGGACTATCGGACAGGCCCAAGGGGAGGTGCGCTGTCCTGCGTGTGGGAGCGAAGCCGCAGTGCTTAGGGGGGTCCTGGCATCGTCAGGCAGAACACGGGTGCAGTCTAGACGCAGGCTCCCTATCCCCCTCGTGACAAGGAGAGCTGGCAGAAACTTTCTCGAGACCGCTCCTGAGCTTTACCCTTTTTTTTTTGACAATATGCTGGAGAAACTTTGAACGACAAGTTTAAGCTGACCCATATATACCTATTTTTATGGTTATGTAAATAAAATGGCCACATGTTGTTCGTCCACCCAGCACGGCTTTAAATGAATATATTTTGGAAAAATATTTGTTAGACCTAGAGCTGGCTTTTTTCTTTTCTCTGAACAGGAATGTAAATGTCTATTTTCCTAGAAACGACAAGTTTTTGTTTGATTTTTCTTTAATGAAAAAAAATGAAATACAAGACAGGCTGATGACAAAGTATTTGTCGAGCTCATCGGGCAGTGTTCTTTCAAATGCGACCCTCACGCCCTCCCCGGCAGAGTCCTGGCCTGTCCCAGTCGGGGTGGCAGGCGGTGAGCACGGGTAGGAAAGCGACGCCCCGGTCACTGGGAGGGAGTCTCAGAGACCTAGAGACCTCCTCCAGTTTTTTGTTGTGTTGTGGTTTTTAACAGAAGCCCAGAAAGATACAGGGACTCAGTTCAAATCACAAGGTTAGTGACGGGAACGGGACGAAAACCTGGGCTGGCAGACTAGTGCTGTGTGCCTCTGCTCTTTGTATTGTTATTTTTATTTTGAGATGGAGTACATTAAGACCTGCTAGTTGGCCACAGGCATCATTAGCACGATAGAACAAAGGACAGAATTCCCTGCTCAGACCTCATCCCGCTGGGGCACGAGCGTGGGGAGGGCAGGAAGACAAAGATGGGCCTTCTGCACTTCTCTGAGTTAGTTAGGCCTGAGGCTGAATGAACAGTTCTTTTCCGTCAAGGAGACAGTTTTGAATGAGCTGTTACCTATGAATCTGCTCCTAGCGGACTAAGGATCAAAGGGAACAAGGTAGGGGAAGGCAGGCTCACGGAGGTCTGGTGGAAACCCAGCCCTGAGTGACAGCAGGGGATCACGCGTGTAGGTCTTTGTTTTTAGTGAATGTTAAAAAGTCTGCCCAGGAGGCTGGGCGAGCACTGTCTTGGTGGACAGGGGTCTGACGTACACTGGAATTTACTGAGAAACTTCTTTGTAAAGGCTATACTTAATTATCGCCATTTTCTTACAAAAATATATATTTTTGAAAATTGTATTCTGTCAATTAAAGTGCTTTTGTGTAAGCTGGTTCAAGCCCCAGTATTGTGCTCTGATTGGCTTGCGTTCTTCACTCGCGGAGGCTCGCCCCCAGGACGCTGAAATAAAGGTGACGGGAGGGGCCCCGAGCGGCTGACAGTTCTGAGATCACCGCAGGCGGTTCTCGATCTCCTCCTCACTGAAGGGACCTTTCCCCTCACAGCGCTGTTTGACCATTGCTTTACCTCTTCCTTCTTTCTGCTGCCTCCGATAGAACTGAGTCACCCAACACGAAAGAACTCCAGGGGCTGCTGAATGCCAGTTGGGTATGAAGACACTGGCGTGGAGACAGATACAAATAGTAAACATCTGGAGGTCCTGTCCTCACCCTCTTCCTGCCCACGGTAGGCTCTGCTTACCTGTCACAGAAGCCTCTGCCTGTCCCTGATCTCCATACAGTGAAGACCAAGGGGGCTCGGGAAAGGAGTCCCTCAGAAAGACGGCTCGGCTCTCTTCACCTGGGGTGGTGTGACCTACCTGTGTGTCCCCACTGGGAGGGAGGAACTCGGGCCCGATTCCGGAGGGAAACCGACAGGCAGACCCGGTGCACGTCCACAGCGGCCGTGCAGCAGCTTTCCATGTGTCTGGCCTCTCGTTCACAGAACATTTCCACTCACGTTATTCAGGAACTCCCGCCCCTCTACCAATAGGGAAATTAGGTAGAGCGAGTACAGATTCCCTTTAAGATTACACAGGTATTTAAAGGGTCGTGTGAGGCCTTGGATCTACGTCTATCCTGTTCGCCTTCCGTTCTTTCTTCAACATCGCATTAATGCTTGAGTTCCAACAACACAGTGGGTTTCTAGACTGCAAGCACTGACGGTTACAATATGATTTTCTTTCTATGCGGGAGCTCTGAAAGGCAGGTCACATCCTCAGGGTGGAACAGACTTGGACCAGAGTTGGACCAGGGGTATTCTGAGGTTAACTTGCAGCGTGTGCCAAGGATACAGAAAGGGATACAAGTACCAGGAACTCAGGCAGGCCCCTGGACCGCGCTCCAGGCACACTGTTCTAAGAAGAGAATGACTCATAGTTTACTGTTGGCTACAAATTAGACCTAAGTCTCCATTCTCTTCCTGAATAGGTCATTCACCCTCCTCCCCGTCCTGCCAACCAAGAGCCACTCGCAGTTGTCATTTTTAATTTGCTGTGCCTCTTTGTCACTCCCAGTCTCCCCCTGTCCTTGCTTCTGGACCCCAAGAGAAAGAGGAAAGATTAGGACTGGCTATTACAATTAACACTAGTGACGAATCCTGACATAGCTAGTATTTTTCAAGGACCCTGGCATCTTATAGATTAAAAAGTGAGCAGGATCCTGGCAAACAGGATCTGCTGCCAACATTCAATTCAGAGGTGTGAAAGTGAGGCAAGAAGTTAAGACTGTGCCTGATGCTATAGTCACTGGTGGATCTGGAAATGTCGGACTGCTGACTCGTGCGCTGGGCTGCCCATTCCTACGGCCCAAGTTCAGAGGGCCGCTGTACATCACATGCCACATGGGCATCGCCAAGGGTCCTAATCTCCCCTCCTCGGTTTGCCAGTCCTCAGAATTCAGTAGCACAGCAGTGGACAGGCCGCCTCTAACCACAGCTTTTCTCTTCCTTCCCTGGAAGAAGAAAGTTTCTAGAAGATGTAGCTGGTGGCCTTTGCCTTTCCCAGGCAGGGGAAAGCGCGGAGGGAGGAAAGTCCCCTGTGGACATTGGAGAGGCTCCATAGTGAGAATGCTAGGAGAGTGCCAAGCATCCTCCTCCCGTCCACCTTCCCTGTGCCTCCAAGACACGTAAAAAGCACCAGGAAATGTGGTGTGACGTGTGCTGCCAAAGGACAAGAAATGGAACCAACTGGTGTTGAAGCACGTGCCAGGGCTAAGTCCTTTCACACTCATGCCTTCCAACTGGGAAGGGTTCATGGCAAGAAACACTGCCTTCCTTAACAGAAAACCTTCGGGAAATTTCTGAATTCTGCGGCTGTGAATACAGGCACACATTGGCCATTTCCCCATGAGGTGCTGGGTCACCTCCTCAGGGACCCAGAAGCCCCTGCGGTAGCTCTTTCAGTCCCCGTCAGTCTCCACAGTCGGTGTGGGAACAGCTGGGACCGCAGCTGAGGCCGACACAAAGCTCACTTGGCCCATTGCTGTCTACCCTCCAGACGGATGACAAACATATAAGGGAGAGGAGACTGTATCCGATATTTCAATCCTTTTGAGTTCGTGTTTTGGAGGATTAACCAAGGAAAGGCCAGTTCCTTACCTTGTCACTTCACATTTCCGTTTTGAAAACAATTGTTATTTACGAAGTATGCTCAACCCACACTCAAGAAATGAGGCCAGAGAGCAGGATGGATTATTGGATTTGTAAACTAAGAAAATGTAATTCTTATTTTAAACATAGTGAGTTGACAAGTAACTCGCTGCCGAGTATAGGACGGCCAAGCCAAGACAATGTGAACCAGATGAGAGAGGGGCCGAGAGCAGAGCCTGGTGCTGAGAAGCTAGCTAGGGCTCACACAGCCCTAACGTGACATTTCCTTGACGTGCTTCTGAGTTTTCTTCGAGGTTCAGCCTGGACAGGAAAACAGAATTCTTCTAAACTTTGCAATACCTCCAGCTCTAGGTTCTCTTTCTTGTCTATCTTTTCTACCATTAATTTTCTGTTTCAGTTCAGTTTTTTTTCTTCCAGTTCCTAACTGGTACAACTATGTTTCCCTTAAAGAAAGACTGAAAAACACATGTCCAAATGTACAAAACATCGAATAGTGCTGGTCATTAACACAGATTAAAAACTCCATTTTATGAATTTACCACTGTTCTTTAAGAATGAAAACTTCCCCAGAAACTGTGAGGTCCATAGAACTTCCTGATTTTAGCACTCTCAAAGGAACATGGCCAATGGCCCTTCCATATGGTGTATCATTTTGTACCTTTCAAAGCCTGAATAAGACCTTTTAGAATTCCGGTCAAGATAGAGGCATAGGTAGACACACTGTGCCTCCTCGCACAACCAAATAGGGACAACAACAATTTAGAAATAGAAAAACCACCAGAACTGACAGAAAATTGAACTGTATGGAAGTCAGACAACCAAGGAGTTAAAATAGACAGGTTCATCCAGACCGGTAGGAGAGGTGTTGGGCAGCTGGGAGCGGGTCGCAGAGCAGAGAGCATTGGGACCGGGTGCATAAGGCAGCCAGGGCACACAAGACCACAGTGGGCGGACCCTGGGTGCACAAGCAGCAGCTGGCAGACCCCGGTCGAGGGGTGGCAACCAGCAGACCCAGTGAGGCAGCGATTGTGGAGCAAGGCACTGCACACAACCCAGGATCACAGCTCTGGGAAATAGAGCCTTGGGGCACTGATTGAAAACACCTGTGGGGGTTGAGGTGCAGGGAGAGACTCCTAGCCTCACAGGAGAGGTCTTTGGGAAAAACCCACGGGGTGCACAAGCCCACCCACACGGGAATTGGCACCAGAGGGGCCCAGTTTCCTCTGGGGAAGTGGCGGAAGGGACTGAGGTCTGACGGAGAGGGGAGCAAGCGGCATTGTTCCCTTTCGGACCCCACCCCCATATACAGCATCACAACCCAGCAACTGGGTCACCACGCCCTGGTGGACATCTAAGGTTCCACCCCTTATACGTAACAAGTGCGACAAGAAAAAGATGGCTCAAACAGAAGAACAAATGAAAGCCCCACAATCAGCACTTTTAAGCAACCAAGAGATAGCCAACCTATCAGATGCACAGTTCAAAGCACTGGTGATCAGGATGCTCACAGAATTGGTTGATTTTGGTCGCAAATTAGATGAAAAAATAAAGGCTACAATAATTGAAATGAAGAAAAATGCACAGGGAACCAATAGTGATGGAATGAAAGCTGGGTCTCATATCAATGGAGTGGACCAGAAGGAAGAAAAAAACATACAATCAGATAAGAATGAAGAAATAAGAATTCAAAAAATGAGGAGAGGCTTAGAAACCTCCAGGACATCTTTAAACATTCCAACACCTGAATTATAGGGGTACTAGAAGGAGAAGAGCAAGAGCCAGAAATTGAAAACTTATTTGAACAAATAATAAAGGAGAACTTCCCCATTCTGGCAAAGGAAATAGACTTCCAGGAAGTCCAGGAAGCTCAGAGAGTCCCAAAGAAGTTGGACCCAAGGAGGAACACACCAAGGCACATTATAATTACATTAGCCAAGGTAAAAATGGAGGAGAGAATCCTAGAAGCAGCAAGAGATAAGGAGACAGTAACCTATAAAAGAGTTCCCATCAGAATGTCAGCTGATTTCTCGAAAGAGACCTTGCAGGCAAGAAGGGGCTGGAAAGAAGTATTCCAAGTGATGAAAGACAAGGACCTACATCCCAGATTACTCTATCCAGCAAAGCTTTCATTTAGAATGGAAGGGCAGATAAAGTGCTTCTCAGATAAGGTCAAGTTAAAAGAGTTCATCATCACCAAGCCCTTATTTTATGAAATGTTAAAGGGACTTATCTAAGAAAAAGATAAAAAACATGTACAGTAAAATAACAGCAAACTCACAATTATTAACAACCACACCTAAAACAAAAAGAAACTAAGCAAACAACTAGAACAGGAACAGAACCACAAAAATGGAGATCACATGGAGGGTTAGCAACAGGAGGAGAGAGGGAGAAAAGGTACGGAGAGTAAGTAGCATAGATGGTAGGTAGAGAATAGACGGGGAGGGCAGAAATAGTATGGTAAATGTAGAAGCTAAAGAACTTATGACACATGGACATGAACTAAAGGGGGGCATATGGGTGGGAGGGGGTGTGCAGGGTGGAGGGGAATGAAGAGGGGTAATGGGACAACTGTAATAGCACAATCAATAAAATATATTTAAAAACCCTTTTAGAAGAAAAAATACAACTGCAAAGCACACATTTTAAAAGTTGATTTCAAAAGTAGTCTTAGCAAACATGAGACATCTAATAGTGTCCATATATAACTTTTTATTAAGAAAATGAACAAAATACATTCTTTCTCCATATGTACATTACATACAACAATTCTACAATTGCAATTGTTCAGCAGATCACTATTCACAAAGCAGTGTTGATAACACATTCATCAAACCTGGGATCAGAAGATTACTTGGACTAAACAAACCAACCAGCCAACCCACAATGTCCACACAGATTGAGCAAAAGTAAGCGAAAGTACAAAGGATTGTGATGGGAACAGGGAAGACTGCAAGACACTCAACATAGCTTAACAATGGTTTACAACAGTAATGATATGAGAAGATATCTGATGCCCCAAATTGCTCCTGTCTGCTGTTCTGAGTTCCCCCAGGATTTCCATTTCTGATGTAGGCCCCTCAGGATACGGCCCTAGGCCCCTGCATGGTCACAGAAGGGGGTGAACAAAACAGCAGAACCCCGACAGGCTGCCCTTCTCTCCTTCTCACACTAAGGAGTCACAAATGAAACCCCAAACTTCCGGTGAGCACAGAAACCTTTTCTGAAGACACATCTGCTTATGCGTGATTAGGGGAATTTGTGTTTCAAGGACTCCTTGTTCACATTTATGTTTACTTTGTCTTCCTTTTGCTTTGCTTTTCTCGGCTTTTCCTGTAGCCTTTCAAAAGTACCTCATCCTTTTTGGGCGTGGGTTTAATTATGGTCATATTGAAAGGTACAGCTCAACAGAAAGCTCCTCTTGGGTATGAATACGCTCCACATGTGCATGATGGTGCATAGAGAGCTTAAGCACTAAAATGAGTCTTTGAGGTGAAATTTCCAGTGGCCTGAGCAAGGCAAATCCCAACAGCTTCTGGGTAATATCTTACACCCATTATTCAGGCTTGAAAGATACATATCAACAGAATTATTTCCAGACTATCTAGAAAAAGGCAACACTTAAAGGAATATGAGTAAGGGTAGGCGCAAATGCTTGCATCCCAGCCCTCCACACATGCGGTAAAAATCAATGAGAATGATGGTGTCGATTTTTTTAAATAACTATTTTCTGGCCTTTACCATGCCTGCTAACAGAAGTCAGGGAAAATAAAACAAGTATGTCTCATCACTTAATATATAGTGGTTTTCCCTCTTTATAATTAGTTATTTCCTAGATTTCTACAATAAACATTTTTATAATCACAAACATCAGTAAGTGTTATGCTGTAACGAAGAGAAGGCGCTCTCCGCAGCATTAATAAGCAGACCTGGAAAGAGCAAGTCTGCTGGCCATGGATGGAGTCCTATCTTCCTTCTCGACCTAATTTCCAGTCCAACTTTGTTTGTGAGGATCTGTATCTGAAGGGATCTTAATTTCTGGCCACTGAGTACTTCTAATTTATAAAACAAGTAAAAGAGTTGATGCAAACAAAAATCCTAACATACGCCATTTTGAAAGATGGAACAATGTGTGTTACCAGGATGAAGACTGAGACAAGGAGGTCTTCACCGTGGCTTTCCTGTGCTCTTCTGAGGCTGTAGACTCAACTGTCCATAGATTTTGAAGTTGTGACAAGGAAGAAATCCCTTTAAAAAAAATCCATATATATGTATAACTGACCCTTGAACAATGTGGAGGGTAGGGGCCCTGAACTCCCACGCAGTCAAAAATCCATGGGTAACTTTTGATTCCCCCAAAACTTAATTACTAACAGCCTACTACTGAGCAGAGCCTCACTAAAAACATGCAGCTGATTAACTAACACACCCTTTTGTATGTGTGTAATATACTACGTTCTTACAATAAAGTTAGAGAAATAAACATGTTAAAATAATAAAAATATATTTACAGTATTTGTTGGAAAAAATCTACAGATAAGTAGACCCGTACATTTCAAAGGTCAACTGTATTGTTCAAGGGTCAGCTGTGTGTGTAGCCATAAAGGAATCTGCTCATAAAAAATGTCACATTTTGCAATTTCTAAATTGAACTAAAGAAATAAAGGAAAATTAACGCTATACTATCTAATTTATACATTTCAAGATATTCTGCACAAGTCAAAAAAGCAAGCTGGCTTACAAAATAACACAATCACAGCATCTTTTGGCCAGGCTACATGTAATGTTTAAGAAAATCAGTCCACTTTTATTCCTCCAAATGGGTGGTTTACAATTGAGGGAGAACACAGTTTATAACTAGTCAGTCACCAAAGTAATATTTCTGGGAAAGGAGGAAAAAAAATTATAAAGGAGACCACATCCATGACTTTTTAAAATACATTATCTGCCCCACAGACTACTCATATTTACACTTTTGGACTTTGATACCGTACTATCAAATTTGGGGTTGGGTAGACAACTTCTTTAGCATGTCTTGTAACTTTGTATTCAGGACTTTCACAAGCATAGCTAATATGTGTGTGTAAAATTAAGCAAAGCCTTTAAAAGGTGGAAGTACCGTAGAACTTCTTTAATTAAGCAACTGAAAAAAACATAAAGCTGTGCAGCTCCGTCCTCAGTCCTCCCCGCCCTTTCGTCTCAAGAAGGTAAAGACAACTACAAGGCAATACACTGGGTGGGCATTTGCAACCATGGGATGGCGTAAGATCCTCTCCTCTCTTTTGTTGCAGAATGAACTCATTAAGACCCTGTCAGCTGCAATGGAACTGGACTTATTCTGGGTACCTTCTCTAATTGAATCACTTTACAGATGTGGAGGCAACCTAAAGAATAAATCAAAGTTATTAAATATTTCTAATGCCAAGCCCAGAACTGAGGTATTTCTTGGCCGAGCAGAATAAACAGAGACCTTTGGGATTATGTACAATTAATTTATTTTAAAACATAGAAACAATTCTGTATGGGTTATAAGTTAAGCATGAAATGACAATTTTTTTTCTACTTTGAAGGAGTAGAAAACAAACACCAACCAAATGACACTAGCTAAACTGAACAAAGACTTTCTTGAGATTTGTTAACGAAGGAGAAATAAAGCTCAAAATTGGCTGCTTGAGCAACTCTTTAATCATGCACACAGGCCTGTTTAGTTATCAACACTGTTTTTCCTTCCTGCTGATTCACTTGTCATTCATTAAGCGCTGAATGAAACGGAAGAATGACCGTCTCCTCAGGCCAGTACCCACGTGGCAGGCAGCTCGAACCCCCGACCTAACTGCTGTGAAAGCCAGTGCCCCAGATGGTGCAGAGCTGTGCTGCAGGGAGAGCTTCAACTGGAGGAAAAGCAAGTCCCGCAGGAGCCTACGACTACATGTTAGAATGGTTCACTGAGCGCTTTCCCCCTGGATCCTTATCCAGGAACTAGCTGTACAAGAGAAACTGCTCACCCGGTTTAAGATCTAGGACCCATTACACTGTGTTTTCTGTTTTAAGATCTCTAACAGCTTTTTGGGAGATGAGAAAAGAAACTAACCGAGAAATGCTGCTTTCCAAAGACTATTCAGAATAACTGAGCTTTGATCCATTTTGTTTTAAGCCTTCTTCCCAGAGTGCATTAGTAAAATTAATTTAGGGTCAGAAAAGAAGAGCTTTCTTTATCATTTAGATTTGGGGACCTCCAAATCTGGGAGAAAAAGTTCCCTCTTCCTTTTCTAGCAGACCCCGCCTCTCCTCTCTAGCTTTGTTCCTGAGGCTGTGTCTTCAGGCGAAAGCGGCACAGACAAGCACAAGAGGACACTGCACACAAATGTTTAATAGTTCATTGAGATGATGTGAACAGACAAAAAGACAAATTATTTCACAACTATAAGTGGTATCTTACAAATGGTCTATTTCCCTACTAAATATGTGCCCCGCCCCCAAAGTTTTGTTGTTGACCCTATCTATAGTTCTCAGGTAACATCCACATAACATTGTTTTAAACCAAGCCAGGCAGTGCTTGAGGACATGAACATATATTTGCAAACTTTATTTCCAAATAATGACTCTAACGTGAAAGATAAACTGAACTGAATACCCCTTGATTCTGGTGTTTTTAAGCTTTGAACTGGGACTCCTAGTTCGAGATCGGTCACTGTAGTTCCACCTAACAGAAAAAGACACACAGAGGTAGGTTTCCCACAGGGGCATCTCTCTCTGCACCACTAGAAAATCTGATTTACTATAACCCCTAATGATTCCTTTAAGGGCTACAGGACCTACTGTCCAAGGATTTTTTCATTGGCTATGACTAGGAATAAGATTTAGTCATTTGGAATTTGAGCTAAATACGCATTGTTGAGGGGAAGAGACATTTATAAGCCTGCATTATTTTTGCTTAAGAATAAACAAATACCAATCATTTTGTGGCCATCAAAGCTATGCTCAATTGTGTTAGAAATTAAAAATCAATTCTTAACACAAATTTCAACTTCAGCAGAAAATCAGTGCTACTTGGAGGAGTTGGGAGCAGGGGTGAAAAGGCAAAAAAAAAAAAAAAGACAAAACAGGCAAATGGAAATTCCGGTGATTACAGAACCCCATAAGCTCTGCATGAAACTTGTCCCTTATTGATAACTTTATGACTATATCCCTAGTGCCAGGAACAGGGGCCTGCTCCACTAAAACTGTCACAACCATATTACTAGGCTCCAAATGAAAATGACCAGCATTTTTAGACCGGTATGTAAATGTTATTAATTCTTTAACAATGTACAAGTATTAACTTCACTATTCTGTTGCCATAAACAAGGATAAAAGAGGATGATGCTTCAGAATGATTTTGACCTTTTTTTCCTCAAGCCGCGTATCACTTGTAGGCAATGCCACCAAACACCAAGAGAGTCTAGGGCTGTAACGGCCAAGAAGCCAGTCAGAAAAGTAATAAAAACACAATTCACAGCATTTGGTGGGTAGGAGGGAATGAAGGTTAAAATTATGTATAAATAAAAGCTTTAAGACAGCACTTTTTGAGAAAAATAAAGAGAGGATTTGGTGGAGAATTCCATAAACTGCAATGGGTCCTTCCCCCCAAAACCAACAATGGTGATGTCATTCAGCTGATCTAGTCGGCTCCCGATTGTTCCCGCACACCTGGACAACCCACCTTCAGATGACATACCAAATGGACTGGATGTTTAAGGAAGCCAAGTCATTTCAGCATAATAGGCCACAGTCAAACATCACAAAAGATGGCACCTAATATGGAATACGAGGATGCTGGAGTGAAAGAGCCCGAAGACCTTACCTACGAGTCTTGTCACATGCAGACCCTCTGATACGCTTCTCCAATAACTATAAACCTTTCCCGAGGAAGCCTGCGCATCCCAGATCAAGGCTATTTCAAGAATTTAAAACATTAGTGAAAATTCCGGTGAGAATTTCTGCAAAATCATGACACTGCAGATGAACATGGGTGTTTGCGAAGGGTTGTGGAAGCTGTGTTTTTTATTGCTAGATGACTGTTTAGAGTACTCATCCTAAAGATTTCCTGGCTCCTAGAGAAATCACTGCAAATCACAGTTCTCAACTGCTTTGCAGCCTTCACCAGATGAAGAGTTAACACATTCTCTCAGGAAATAAGCAATGACCCACAATTACCCAGTGAATTTCATATGGTGGTAAGAATAATTACAGAGTAACTTCTCATGTTATTACCATGAAACTAGTATAATTTGGAGAATAAAATCAGGAACATATTCCTTTCTAAGTGCTTTTTCATCAATTAAGCATCATTTTCCAACTCTCAATAAATGATTAAATGATATAGGTTAAATTTTAAAACTTTATTAGTTGAAACTGTTCTAAATAGCATTTTTAAGGCAGATGTGAAAAGGTCCACTGGAAGGATAAGCTGGCAAACACTTTTATTCAATACACACATTTCACCCAAGAAGAGTTTACAATCTTAAACAAGTCGCTGAGCTCTAAGCCCGGCAAGCCAAAATTAACTTTCTAATGGTCTCTATCAGTTTTACTTACTAGACATGGATAGGCCAGTTTTAGTGTAAATGAAAACCTGGTTTAAAAAGATGATCTTGCTAAAGGTTAATACTCTCAGCTTTAGTGCAGTCTAAATTCCTTTGCTTGAATAAGAAATCAATACAGTTGAATTAATCAAGCTGTCCACAGGTCTGTGTCATTCCACAAAATGCAAATCAATTTTACAAGTCCCTGGTAAATCAGGTAATTTCTCATGAAGTACAAGAATTGACGATGTTAGAGATCTAGTTTACTTCTAGTTTTAATAAAATATTTGTTTATTATAATAATATATTATAGAATAATATATTCCACTGGGGGCAGGGGAACAAAATGGAAATGAAGTTGAAGCAAGGGATAATGAAACTGAGCAAACTGTATCCAACTAACTAGCACAAGCCAGGTGTTTCAATCTGAGATAAAATAATAGATTTTTAAAATAGTAAAACTTAGCTACTTGCCTATCTAAACAATGTATCTAAATACCAAATTAAGATGATTTAAATTAAACATGCTGCTGGAATTCCTGGACACAAATGGAGCTCCTCGTTCAGTCTCCAGGTAAGTTTCAAGCCGGGGCTGAGCAATGTGAGTGGTGTGTCGGTGCTGGGCATCGGCAGAATGAAGCCCCGTGTTCTGCTACAGTCATTACCAGCAGTGCAAGCTTCACGGTACGAATTCTGACTCGCCTAGTCAATAATCACCTCCGTATCATCTCTTAAGCAGCACTGAATAGTTAGCTATGTTTCCACCCCATTTAAGTATGTTAGTGAAAGAAAAATTCAGAAATGAAGAGGAAAAGTTCCACATCTAATAAAGTAATAAGAGAAAAAACTAAAACAAGCATATGTAAAACATACACACACACACACTACTACTACTACTGTCAAGGGAAAATAAGAACAAGAACAACAAAAAATCAGTGAGTTCAGGAACCAAGTTTCCTCCAAACGTGGAGTCTAAATAAATGAAAAAAATGACAAAGCCCTACAAAAATAAATGGTGGAGGGCAGCAGAATTTCATTTGGTTAATGTGTTTAAAGTGCCAGAATTCACAGAGAGCAAAGCTTGAGGTTTTAAATTTAGAAACACAAGTTCTTCCCCATTAATTCTTTGATTTGTACTTATTTTCACAAAACAAGATTCAATTGGCTACCATATTAGTGCATTAATATTTTATGTTCTGCTCTGTCACTCAGGGGAGTCACTTTATGAAACTGCACAAGTATGTAAGTACATCCTATGTGCTCACCTGTAAAAAGTCGGTTATTCTGTAGCTACACAATTTGGTATCTACTAAATGATACATTCTATTTTCACAAGTAAGGTACAGATGTAATTGTTTAATAAATCACTGAATGCTTTGGAAAGCTTGGAAGCTAAGGAGCCCAAGACTCAAGTCTAGAACTAGGAAAAATATATTTCTGCCCTTCCCTGAAAGTAGTAAAACTACGCAATACAGACTGAAGATGGATCACAAGGTCTCATTCCCATACATGAGACTTTTCAAAAGTGCAAGTCAATTTCTTCTTTCTTTGGTGACACCTATCTTGCTACTCAGGGTCATACTGAATTCCATCAAGTCATTCACTTTTAAGAGCCACTGGACTGATGGACATTCATTATACATAGTATGCTTTAAGCATGGTGGTATCAGTTGAACACAGAACACTTTTTGAGTGAATATAAGCACTGGCCAGGTGTAGGTTTCCCATACTATATTCCATAGCACCTCATGGAATAATATACAGCTCCACCACCCCACAAAAAAGCGGAAAAACCCATTTGCCTTTTTTTCCTTTTTTTTTTTTTTTTTAGTTTTAATGAAAAAGTATTTGCACCATTATTTTTCTTTTTCCTCCTTTAAAAAAGCCTGGTCCATGTGCTTAATGAAATGCCTGTCAGCTGTATTCATTTGGACAACTATACACCATTATTTAAAATATCAGTAGGCAGAAGGAGATGTAGGGAGCCAGTATATGTGGAAATTAACAAAAGCAGAGTTCTGGAAACCCACCCTCCCAAATGAAAATGCTACAAATTGATAGCACAAGAAAGTAACAGAAGGCTTGGTTCTGCACAGCTCTACCAGAGGGAAAAGTCATTTTCTTTCAAAATTACTACAAAGATATCAATACACATATCAATCACTCCCAGAATCCTCCTGCTGGTAACTTTTATAATAGCTCTTAAAGGTTCTACACTATACTCAGTTCTCAGTTTAAGGTTTCTGTGACTCAAAGCTATTATAATATCCATTATAGAAATACTATATGCCAATCTCAGATACGTGCTTGGACCAATCTTGGATTTCATTTTTCAGTTCCATGACAAGGAGCGTAAATTTGAGCCTTCTGTTTCTCCTATTGCTTAATGTAATACAAGACTCTAGTCAACAGAGACACATATTTATCACTTTAACATACATCAATTGCCATACAGAACTACATACTATTAAGAATGAAGTGAAGAGGTAAACAAGTGACACCACGTGTAAGCAGTTGTGTGATGCAAGGTAAAGTGAAATGGGAAGAAGAAAGGCCAAACAACAAAATCCCAATTCTTGCAGCACTGAGTCTGTTAATAGTGCTTACTTGCCCTAATTTTATAAAAATGAAATAAAAATCAGGAAAGGGTAAACTACCTGATTATTATTTTTATACTCATTAATTCTTAAAAGTTAAAGTAAAAAATATATATATTTAAATGGAAAGTACACCAATTTCACTTTATTATTAACCTAATTGAGGAATGGGATGAGGAGAATGGGGTTGAGGTCAGGTATGACGAAAGAGGGTTAGAACTTGTGATGGTAACGGTCCCTTCAAAATTCTGGTGCAGTCCTCAATCACTGCAGCCTAAGTGTCGGTCAAGAGAGTTGAAATCCAGAATACTGAAAGCAGACTTCTGTTCTCCTTTCCGGCCAGTGACTCTTCAGTTACAGTGTGATGAGGTCTACCAAGTTGCCTTTAGGAGGAGTCATACTGTCAGGAAAGAAATTTACCAAGGTGTCAAAGAGCTGAGTTCTCTGAGCATAGGTGTGATCCACATCCGAAAAGCCTGGTGAAGGAGAGATACAAAGACATTCATCAATTGTGTTTAAAACTCAACATGTAACAGAAAAGACTGGAGAAAAGCAGCAATATATAATGGAAAAACCAAGACTCAAACAGGCTTTAAAACCAAAGACACGGGTCCTGATCCGAGTTCTGACTACTTGGCAGCGCTTTAAAATGCACTTGTGTGAAAAGAACCTAGCCAAACTACTGGCACTTCAGGAACTAAATGGACTTCTCTTTTCCTTGCAAGCGTTTTCCTTTTCTAGTCTACTGAGGACATTTCACTCCTTTTCTTTTTCATGCTTCTGACCCTCCCTCCATTTTTTGTTTGTATTAGTATGCATTCATGGATCCTTTTCTTGTTCAGTGTTATATCCATTACTGTCATTGCTCATTTTAGTACTGATATGGTCCTAGGTTTGGCCAGTAAGAGCTCTTTTGAGTTCCTGTTTTTTTGAAACATCCCTACTAAATCTGAGTACTTCCTTATTTTCTGATAACCAAGCTCATCTTCACAGCTCTGGAGTCAGCTATTTTTCCAAGAGCCCTAATTCCTTTTAGTGGTGAATCATATCTAGAAACCAAGACCAGGTGTGCTAATTACCAAGGGCAGTGTTGTTTTCAGGTCTATACATGTATCTATACACATTACATACAGCTTTTTTTTTAACAGAATCATGTTTTTATTGCTAATTCCAAATTTTTAGGAACCTCACAGGATTCTTTTCCTTATCCCATTCCATATTTATGTCTCCCTTCTTTCACTAAGGAAACCAACTCCCAGCAACATCATATTTACTCATTTCCTCAGCCTAAAATACATACAAAACATGGCTTAGAATTACTATACCCATTATCACTACCACCAAAAACTCAAGGTTCTTTCCTCTTGTTTTTAGATTACATCTGAGAGTATATAGTCTAAGCGCTGTACAAAAAAAGGTTTAATTTCAACCCCCACTGTGTGGTAATACTACTACTAATTTGATATACAGGTTTGTTTCCCTTTGTATTTTCTTCCAAGTTTTCCTCTTGTTTTCTTTATTTGTGAAAATGTTGTGGTATGTCTTATTCTTAACAGAAGGTATTGATTCTGTGATAGTATTCTATTGAAGTAGTATCATTTTCATGATATCAAATAATTTAGGAAGGAAGGAAACACTAGAGTTCCTACTGTGTGCTAGGTACTTTAGTTATGACTGCATTTAGTTGTCATAAAAAATAAACAAAACCTGGCTGGTGTAGCTCAGTGGATTGAGCCCGGGCTGGGAACCAAAGTGTCCCAGGTTCGATTCCCAGCCAGGGTACATTCCTGGGTTGCAGGCCATAACCCCCAGCAACCGCACATTGATGTTTCTCTCTCTCTCTCTCTATCTCCCTCCCTTCCCTCTCTAAAAATAAATATAAATAAATAAAACCTTTAAAAAAATAAACAAAAAATAATGAAACAGTTACTATAAATTCCCCTTTCAGATGGGAAAGCTGAGAGAAACTCAGTAATTTAATAAGGTCCCACAGCTGGTAAAGGAAGAATATAGAATGTGAACCTATGTCTATCTGACTCCAAAGCCCATTTATTTATTTTTATTAACTAATATTCACTGAGTGCTTACTCAGTTGTAAGTAATGTGCTAAATTCATTTAATCCTCAAAAGAATATCTTTTACTTTTCTTCACCCGATACCAACAAGGAAATTGAAATTTGTACTATCATTAGATGAACTGTTAAATTATGGTAGAGCCCTATGATGGAATACTACATATCACTTAATGAGAATACAATAGATCTAGTGCAGTTTCATGCAAACATCTCCAAGCCACATCATGAAATTTTAAATTTACAATGCAGAATACATATTTTACATTATATAATGAAACCAGAACACACAAAACTATACATCTATGTGAGTGTGCACATGCATACATATGAAGCCTGTCCAGAAAAGGTCCAACCACTGTTAATATAATGAGAATGGTTTGCCTGACACTGATGTAACCTGGCAGCCAAGGAGAGTGAACTGGAATGCATATGCATGAACAATGACAATTTCACAGTACTAGTCAGTGGGGGCAACAGTTGCCATTAAGTGAGCATGTGTACTGTGTGGCCATCATATTCAAAATGACTGAGCGAGTACAGCAAGGGATCTGCACCAGACTTTGCATTAAAGTTGAACGTTCCTCCACAGAAACAATATGGATGATCCATAAGGCCACAGCTATGGGCAACTGGTGACTGGAAGTTTCATCATGACAATGTACCTGCTCACACATCACATCTTATATGGAGTTTTTTGGTGAAGTGTCAAATCATCCAGGTGACTCAGCCCCCCTACAGCCCAGATTTAGCCCCCTGCAACTTCTGGCTTTTCCCAAAACTAAAATCACCTTTGAAAGGGAAGAGATTTCAGATCATTGGTGAGATTCAGAAAATATGACGGGGTAGCTGATGGTGATTGGGAGAACTGTGTGAGGTCCCAAGGTGCCTAATTTGAAAAGGACTGAGGCATCATTGTCCTATGTACAATGTTTCTTGTATCTTTTATCTTTAATGAATGTCTCTATTTTTCATATTACATGGCTGGATACCTTCTGGACAGACCTTGTACAGTCAATCCTCATTACTCACAGATTCCATATTTGAGCATTTGCCTCACTAAAATGTATTTGTAATCCCACAGTCAATACTTGTGGCACCTCACAGACATGCTCAGAGCACGAAAATTTGAGTTACCACATGTACATGCTCTCAGCTGAGGTCAAATTAGGTGATGCTCTGCCTTCTTGTTTTAGCTCTCATGGTATAAAGTCTATCAGTGCCATGTTTTTTGCACTCTTGTGCCTTTTTTGGTGATTTCACTGCTTACAATGGCCTCTACGTGTAGTGCTAAAGTGCTATCTTATGTTCCTAAGTGCAAGAAGGCCATGATGTGCCTTATGGAAAAAACTTGTGTGTTAAGTAAGCTTTATATAAAAATGAGTTTATGATGTCATTGGTTATGAGTTCCATGTTAATGAATCAACAATATAAATATAGAAATAAGGTATTTTTAAACAGAAACACACATAATGCAAGGTTACATATTGATAGGCTGATGAAAATGTTGTGCCCAGAGGCTTATAGGAACATAACTCTGTCCTGGAGGAGGAATGGTTGAGTATTCATTAATTCAGTGCTCCCGATGATGCTACAGAATGTAACCACAGCAAACAACGAGAACCAACTGTATCTCTACGTCTGTGTATATGGTTGTGTTTGTGTAAAGATCTGTCAGCTATGAATGGATGCACATGAGGAATGCGGAGAGAGATTAAGGAAAATTGGTCAAGGAGAATCTTAAGTTTTATCTGCAGTCAATTTTTTAAAAAAATACATTAAAGAGGGGCAGGACACTAGGAAAACTCAGCAACATGACTACGTAAATGTCAGAGTTGGGACGAAAAAAGGTTATACTGATTCTAAATCTCATGCTCCATCCTAACTACTGTTTCTCTCAGTTAATTTTCACCATAAAATGAAATGAGAAACTGAACAGAGTAGTGAAAACAGGTGAAGCTCAATGAAAGGTAGTATAGTTAGTGGTTTAGGGAATGAGCTATAAACCCAAACTAAGGTTTGAATCCTGGTTTTGCCACTCACTACCACCAACCCTAGACAAGTTATTTTAGCCTCTCTATGCCCCAGTTTCTTCATATATAAAAGGGGATCGTAACAGTAGCTACTTCACAAGGTTACTGTGGAGATTAAAGGAGTTATGACATGTGAAGTACTTAGAATAATACCTGGCCCCATAGTAAGTGCTCAATAAATATTAGCTATCACTTTATCACTAGAACCATGACTGAAGACAATGACTGCTCTAAAAAGAAAGTAACCTATTAGGAATACATTTTTAAGTTAACATAGTACACAGAACTACGGAGCTTTTCCAATTTATGGTAAAGTAGTAGTATTAGCAAAAATTCTCATTTTCTCCTGGATACAAGTTTCTTTACTTATTCTTCCTATTCCTAATAATAAACATATTATTATAGAAAAAAGCATCTCTAAACATGTGAGTTACTGACAGGAGATTGAAGAAAATATCTTGCTGAAATCTATATTTGGTATGCTAAAAGGACATAGTGAATTCTGTGAAATTTTTAAGGTACCCTATTTACAAATGTCACACAGTGCCAAAAAACACTACTTGAAGTAGAAAATGTTTTAAATATTTATCTGAATTCATACTTACATGTCATATTTGGATATTAAACTTCTCTTTAAAGAGAAGTATGAAGACCAAAAAAGGCGGTATGTTCTATAGACCAGATTTGTCGTATTTGAAACATACCTTGCTGAAAATATGCTTAACTGATCAAAAGTATACTTTCTGATAACAAGACACTGCTCTTAAAACTAGCAAAATATTTGAGAGTTCAAGCTTAAAAGGGCCCACAGCCATCAGAACCTCTAAACTAAAGGTTTGTAGAAGTTATTTTTTTCAAAACTAAGACAATGCCAGCAACTTATAAATCATTATCTTTCTAATCCTTTAAATTATATATAACATTAACAAATACTTTGAAAGAACTTCCGGCCAAGATGGTGGTGTAGGTAGATACATTTCGCCTCCTCATACAACCAAAAGAAGGACAATAACACATTTAAAAACAAAAAGTAACCAGAACTGCCAGAAAATCAAACAGTATGAAAGTCCAACAACCAATGAGTTAAAGAAGAAACATTCATTCAGACAGGTAGGAGGGATGGAGAGAGGTAGCCAGGGTGGAGAGGAGTCCCAGCAAGGAGTGGGGGGGGCACTGGGGCGGGTGAGGGGGTAGTTAGTAGACTGGGCAGTCCCACATTTGCGTGCAGATAAACCAGGAGAAACAACTGGGGAGCAAGACAGACTGCACAACCCAGGGTTCCAGTGCAGGGAAATAAAGCCTCAAAGCCTCCGACTGTACAAACCTGTGGGGGTTGTGGCAGTGGCAGAAGAAACTCCCAGCCTCACAGGAGAGTTCATTGGAGAGACCCACAGGGTCCTAGAACATACACAAACCCACTCACACTGGAATCAGCACCAGAAGGGCCTAATTTGCTTGTGGGAAGTGGGGGAAGTGACTGAAAGGCAGTAGAGCGCTGACCAAGCGGTACTGCTCCCTCTCGGACCCCTCCCCCACATACAGCATCACAACACAGAGATGTATTTGCCCCACCCTGGCAAATACCTAAGGCCCTGCCCCTTACTATGTAACAGGTGCACCAAGACAAAAAAAAATATGGCCCAAATGAAAGAAAAGATCAAAGCTCCAGAAAAAAAATAGAACCAAGTGATGAAGAGATAGCCAACCTATTCATGTAGAGTTCAAAACTTTGGTAATCAGGATGCTCACAGAAATGGTTGAGTATAGTTGCAAAATAAGAGGAAAAAATGAAGGCTATGAAAACTGAGATAAAGGAAAATGTACAAGGAATCAAAATGAAGAGAAGGAAACCAGGACTCAAATCAACAGTTTGGAACAGAAGGAAAAAATAAGCATTCAACCAGAACAAAATGAAGAAACAAGAATTCAAAAAAGTGCGGGGAGGCTTAGGAACCTCCAGGACAACTTTAAGTGTTCCAACATCCAAATCATAGGGGCACCACGAGGAGAAGAAGAGCAAGAAATTTATAAAGTATTTGAGAACATAATGAAGGAGAACTTCCCTAATCTGGCAAAGGAAGTAGACTTCCAAGAAGTCCAGGAAGCTCAGAGAGTCCCAAAGAAGTTGGACCTAAGGAAGCATATACCAAGGCACATCATAATTAAATACATTACCCAACATTAAAGATAAGGACAGAATCTTAAAAATGCCAAGAGGAAAGATAGTTACCTACAAAAGAGTTACCTACAAAAGAGTTACCTACAACTCTTCTCCCTAAAAGAGAATTAGTGGATTTCTCTAAAGAAATCTTACCACCAAGAAGTGGCTGGAAAGAAGTATTCAAAGTTGACAAAGGAAGGAACCTACATCCAAGATTACTCTACCCAGCAGAGCTGTCATTTAGAATAGAAGGGCAGATAAAATGCTTCCTAGATAAGGTAAAGTTCAAGGAGTTCATCATCACCAAGCCCTTATCATATGAAATGTCAAAGGGACTTATCTAAGAAAAAGAAGATGATCAAAAATACGAACAGTAAAATGACAACAAACTCACCATTATCAACAACTGAACCTAAAAAAAAAACCCAGAAACAAAAACAAAAACAAACTAAGCAAATAGCTAGAACAGGAACTGATTCACAGAAATAGAGGTCACATGGAGGATTATCAGCAGGGAGGAAGAGAGGGGAAAATGGGGGAAAAGGTACAGGGAATAAGAAGCATAAATGGTAGGTAGAAAATGGATGGGTGGAGGTTAAGAATAGTATGGGAAATGGAGAAGACAAAGAACTTACATGTATGAACCATGGACATGAACTAAGGTGGGAGAATGATGGTGTGAGGGGGTGACGCAGAGTGGAGGGGAATAAAGGGGAGAAAAAGATGGGACAACTGGAATAGCATTATCAATAAAACATATTAAAAATATATAACAAATACTTTGATTTAATTCTAAGAAGTAAAGATAAATTGGATTAATTCCGAAAGGAGTCAAAAAGTTAGGCTGAGGCAAATTTTTTCTTAGAGAATTTAAAAAATGAAATATTCAGTTTATCTATACATTAATGATGTATACATCTATACAAGAAATAACTCATTTACCCTGGCTGGCATAGCTCTGTGGATTGAGTGTGAGCTGCGAAGAAAAGTGTCGCAGGTTGGATTCCCAGTCAGGGTACATGCCTGGGTTGCAGGCCATGACCCCAGCAACCACACATTGATGTTTCTCTCTCTCTCTCTATCTCCCTCCCTTCCCTCTCTAAAAATAAATAAAATCTTAAAAAAAGAGAAATAACTCATTTAATTTCAACCCTATGTGGAGTAAAGGTAAAACAATCTGACAGAAAATGAATTAAGAAAAAGAAGCAGGAACTCTAGACAGGCATGAAACTTATAAAAGGTCCTTGTGCTCATAAATTTTTATGCACAGTACTTCTTATTTATAATACATGAGGCTTCTCCTTATTAAAATTAGCATACAATGTGAATTTGCTCCTCATCTAAATTCACCAATGATACAAAAACAGTATTTTTAAGGGAGTTAATGATAGTGCCCTTAATGGGTCACTTACTAATTAAGTGTTTTATTTTGCTGTTTTCTATAATTATTTCACTTAATTCCCCCAACAACTTGAGATAAGTACTCTATCTCCATTTTATAGATGAAGAAATTAATGATTAAAAAGGTGACTTGCTCAAGGTTGATTTATATTTAATTTTTAATTTTTTTTTAGAGAGAGAGGAAGGAAGGGAGAAAGAGAGGGAGAGACACATCAGTGTGTGGTTGCCTCTCACATGGCCCCCACTGGGGACCTGGCCTGCAACCCAGGCATGTGCCCTAGACTGGGAATTGAACTGGCGACCCTTTGGTTCGCAGCCCTCGCTCAATCCACTGAGCTACACCAGCCAGGACCTCAAGGTTGATTTAAAATTAGCATGCGACAGAGCTGATATCTACACCTAGATTCTAACTCTGAACCACTGGACTATGTTCCCATCTCTTAACTGTTAAACATACTGCCTCCCTTCAGACAATGTATGAAACAAAACCCCACAGGGATTTTCCCTTTTTGTTATTTTTCCTATTGTGTTTGTACTGTTCTCAGTGCACCTGAGGTTTGTTTGAAATCCAAGTAAAACAAACTGTTCCTGACAAAATATATTAGCTGGCAGTGAACAAGGCAGAGACAGAAGAAAGGAGTTAAGCTAAAGGTAAAATAAGCGCTGACAGCCTACCATATTTAGACGACTGCCAAGAAACTCTTGTTCTAAGGCGAACTGTGAGTCAGTCAGAGACACGTCAGTGCTGCCCACCAACAAGTAAAAATAACGGCTCCGGGCTGTGGTTTCCATACATGACAAGGCACATATTCACTTAAAGAACATACCCATGTGCCAGGCTCTCAACTCATGTTATCACTGAATCTGTTTCAAATGGTAAAACTCAAAAGGGTATGACCTTTCTAAAGTGATGTTTATATTTAGATTGTCCATCACAGGGTTGAGATTTCTAACAGCTTGAAAACATTTTGTTTTAAACCATTATGTATTCCACTGTATGGGATAGTTGCAAACAACTGTCTAAATTTTTAGAAGAGCCTGTTGGAGTCATGCTTTACAGCAGGAGTCTGCTCAGCATTGCTGTGCCGAAGCCTACATGTCCTAGAAACAGGACTCCACACTGCAGTCGCCTTGACCAGTAGAGAAGACTTAATTAGTCGTTATGGAAAAAGACAGGGCAAGACCTCAAGGAATATTTCCCATCCCAGTGAAAAACACCACAATTACATATGGTGTTTTTTCTCTTTGAGGTATGGTTCACTTTTAAGAGACAAAAGGAAAAAGAATAATGAAATTAAACTGATACCCCAAGTGTTATTTTATTTCAGAGATAAAGAGTAGTATTTATACTAGAAAACTTCAATACTGCTACTCAACTCTAAGGCACATAGTAACAGCACTGTCATCAAATTGGATTAATAGGCATTCACCGTGTGACCACATCCTATAATGGTAAGAGAAAAGCTGAAAATTCCCATAGTGCAAAAGACTACTACCTTGTTAAAAAGTGATGCTATAATAGTCACTTACTCTAACAAAAAGATCCTTGAAAATTTACCTGATTAAAGCTCTGGGTCCTGGAACTTCTACAAATACCCCACTTTATTACAGTGTAGTAAACTCTAATAATTCATTAATACTTAATGAGAGTACTCCTAAATGAACACCGATGTTTAAGAAACATCAGTCTGTTTCTTTAAGAAACACTTGAATTTCAAGTACAATTTGTCTTGAACTAGGATAACCGGCACATAAAAATTCCCATATTCAGGAAAGAGATAATTCATTTTCTCTGTTCCCAGAAGATTTATTTCATTGCTTACCCCAGTGCTGATCTGGTGACACCGTACCACTCCACAAAGAACAAAATTGGAGGAAAAATTATTCAACCAACAAGTGTTATCTTATATTAAGTACATCAGTAATACAGTTTGCATTTTAAAACAATGCTATACAAGTTAATTCATTTTAATCATGTTCTATTGTCATCTGTTTGCATAATGATGAAGCAACTGGTGTAACAGGAAAAACAAACAGATGTATGAGCTGGTGACTAATGCTTGGGAAATAACCTTGTAGCAAGTTATCAGAAATTCTGCATTCTACCTTGCAACTTACTCCACTGTTTAGAAGAATATCTCATCTGAAGTTTCATTTAAAAGGCACCAAAACCCAGCCTCCCAAATGCTAGCGCATCTGGCTGAATAAACTACACTGGAATACTTACCTAGAGCTGTAAAATCTGAGCCAGATTTGAATAGAGCTGAAGCGAGCAGCTGAAACTGTAAAAGAAAAACAGAGCAAATTAACTGGCTAAGCACATTAGAGGAAAATAACTTCTCTAATTTTGACCATTTATTAGCCACTGTATGTCTCTGCACTTAAGCCTATTTACCAAATAGTAGCAAGAATAACACATTTAGATTAAGGAATATGCTGACTTTTCTGTTGGACTGCTCATCTTTTCCAAAATACTGGAACAAGTCTTGGAATTATTTTAAAAATTTATTAAAATATGTGTTTGTTAACAAACAACTATTCATCTAAAATAAAGAAGAAAATTACTCATCTGGGAGTCTCACATATGGATAGATTGGTGTCCTGGACAGTTACTGAACTCAGTATATGTATTCTCATTTCAAAAATAGATACATGTATTATAAAACACTTGTCTCTGCTGTGTAAACCAAACTCTGAGGAAAACAGCATGATTATGATGTATAGGGCATTCATAAATTTCAAGTTAGACTGGGATTCCATGATCACATATGATTACATTGTTAGGTTCAAAGGCTCAAAAAGGCTCAAAGGCCTTTTTCTACACTGAAATAACATAAGTGTTAATTAGATTCCCAGGCTAGCCAGTCAGTTAGTTTAAAACAGATACTGTAACTGAACAATGACAAAACAAATAAGAAAAAATACTACTGCAACACTGGTCATTTAACAAATTGGTAAAACTGTAGGAGAACTATTTATATTTATTTGGAATGAGTACAGTACAAAACAGGCAAGATAAAGGAAAGAGGAGGTCAGTGAGTAGAGTCTCAATGGAGTCGCTTGGCAATTTGCAAGGCTTGAGCAGCTGATACCTGATTCCTCAGGATGTATGATAAACCTTTGCTTCTGCCTTCAAAATTTCAATTATCAACCACATGAATATATGTTAAGTCCTGATTAATAATCCTTTGAAGGTCAGAAATTGGACAAATATTCCAAAAGTAATGATCTAAGCAAGAGTGAGGAAAACGGGATGAAAGGAAGAGTTAAATACACAGGGGTGGACAAAAATAGGTTTACATTTGTAATATACATAATAATGATATAAGAATAAACTGTTTCACATACTCACAACTGTAAACCTACTTTAGCCCACCCCATATGTACAACAGAAGTTCTTTATACATGCTTAGGTATCAGTCCTCTGGCAGAGATATGTAGTGCAAATATTGTTTAGTCTGTGGCTCGCCTATTTTTAAATAATGTCTTAATGAAATCTTAATTTTACTGAAGTCCAATTTATCAAGTTTCTTCTTTGATGATTAGTTCCTTTGTGTCATGTCCAAGATATATTTGCCTATCCCAAGGTTGTGAAGAAAATCTGTTTTCTTCTTGAAGTTTTACTGTTTTGGGTTTCATATTTAGACCCATAAACCATCTTAATTTCTTGTGTGTGCAGTATGAGATAGGGGTTGAGATATCAGCACCATTTGTTAAAAAGATTTTCCCTTCCCCAGTGGACGTAGGTACCCTGGTCCAAAAAAAAAAAAAAAAATTGACTCCATAGATGTGGGTCTATTTCTGAACTGTACTCTGTTCCACTGACCTACTTGTTTACCACAATGTCCTGACTACTGCGACTTTATACAGAGTTCTGAAATCAGATAGTATGAGGCCTTATGCTTTTTCTTTTTCAAGGTTGTGTTGGCTAGTGTGGGACTTTTGCATTTCCATATAAATTTTAGAATCAGTTTGTCTCTTTCAACAACTAAACCCAAACTTCCGGGCATACTGTTAAGGTCTGAATTAAATTAAAAACTAATATGGGGAGAATGGGCATCTTAATTTTTAGTCTTTCAAGCCATACATGCGATATATCTCTCTGCTTATTTAATTCCTTACAATAGACTTATTACTACACATTTGATTATTTTCTGATATTAATATAAACAGATTTTTAAATTCATCTTCTAACTGTTCATTACTAACTTAAAAGTAAATGTTTTTCTTTTCCTACCGAACTTGAATTCTGTAACTCTGCTAAATTCACTTAGTGTATTGTTTGTAGACTACATGGGGTTTTCTATATATACAATAATGTCACCTGCAAACAATTTTACTTCTTTCTTTCTAATCTATGATGTTTATTTGTTTTTCTTACATGGTAAATAGAGGATGTCTGTTGACATATTTTTTATAGATGCCCTTTATGAGATTTAGAAAGTTGTTTTTTTTTATTTCTAGTTTGCTAAGAATTTTTATCCTGAGTGGATTTTAAATGTTGTCAAGTGCCCCTTTCTTCACTTACTGAGATGACATACGGTTTTTCTCTTTCACTCTGTCAATGTAGTGAATGACTGATTTTCAAATGTGAAACCAACCTTTATTCCTAGGCTAAAACCCCACCTGGCCTCTGTGCCTTAACGTTTTTATATTTTGCTGGATTTAAGTAGCAAAATGTTATTAAGAATTCTGCATTTCCCTGACCGGTGTGGCTCAGTTGGTTCGGTGTTGACCCGCAGAGCAAAAGGTTGTGGGCTCCATTTGCAGTCAGGGCACATGCCTAGGATGTGTGTTTGGTCCCCTGGTAGGGGCATGGGCGACAGGCAACCAATCAATGTTTCTCTCCTTTTCCTTCCTCCCTTCACCTCTAAACAAATAAATGAGTAAATATTTTTAAAAAAGAATTTTGCATCTATATTTATGAGGGGTATTCGTTTGTTATTTTCTCTGCTTGTAATATCTTTGTCAGGCTTTAATATCAGAGTGCAGCTGTTTCATAAAAGAATTTAGAAAGTGTTCTCTCTTCCTCTGGTTTCTGAGAGTCTGTGTAGCACTGGTATTTTTGTAACTTAAATGGTTGACAGAATTTACTGATATAGCCACTGAGGTGCAGAGTTTTCAGTTAGAAAGTTTTTAATTACAAATTCAACCTCTTTAATTGACATGAAGTTATTTAAGATTTTTCTAATTCTTCTTGTATCTGCTTTAGTAAGTTGTGTCTTTTAAGGAATCTGCCCATTTCATTAAGTTGAATTTGTTGACAAAATTATTCACAATATTTCCTTATTACCTTTTAATATATGTAGACTCTGTAATGATTTCCCATTTTCATTTGTGATGCTGGTAATTTTTCACCTTTTTTTGGTAAGTCTTAACCAGGGGTTTACCAACTTTATTCACCTTTTCAAAGAACCAACTTTTTGCTTTTTAAATCTTTTCTATTGTTCCTATTTCACTAATTACCTTTCTTCTACTTATTTGAGGGTTCAGGTATCAGGTGATATTACTCAATCTGAATAAATCCAGACTTCTTCCAAACTCAGACCTGACTATCCAACTCTCACTTCAATATCTCAAGTTGGCTGTTTCATAGACATCTCGGCTAAAGATATCCAACTTTAAACTCCTGATCCCAATCAGGATTTCCCACCCACCACCACAAACCAGCTCTATCCAGACCATTTTCATTTGGTTGATAACTCCATTCAGTCGGGTCAAAAACCTTGGAGTCATTTCTTTCAAACCTTAAGTTCAATCCATCATAAAATTCTGTTAGTTCTACCTTTAAATATATTGAGAATCCAATCTATTTCACTTCTCACTATTTCTACCACTACTCAGGTCTGAGCTACAATAATCCCTTTCTTAGTTTTCTACAATCTCCCTTTTGGGTCTTTCTGCTTGAATCCTCACTCTCCTTCTTTAGTCTATTCTCATTACAGTAGTGAGAGTGATCTAATCAAAACATGAAGCAGATCATGTCATTTCTCTGCACAATACCCTGAACTAGCTCCTCATTCACTTGGAGCAAAAGTCAAAGTCCCAGCTAACTAAATCATTCACAATCTGATCTTCAATCTCCACTCCTACCTCTCTGACTCCATTAAAAAAAAAATCATTTATTTTTAGAGAGAGGAAGGGAGGGAGAAAAAAGAGGGAAAGAAACATTGAACTGTTTCCTCTCACATGCCCCCAACCCAGAGACCTGGCTCGAAACCGAGGCATGTGCCCTGATCGGGAATCAAACCAGCAACCTTTCAGTTAGCAGGATGACACACCACCCGCTAAGGCCCACCAGTCAGGATTCTGACCTCACTTCTGACTACTCTTACCCATTTCACCTCTTCTTCAGCCACAATGGCCTCCTTGCTGTTCTAAACAAATCCAGAATGCATTCAGCCTTGTTCTAGCTAACAACCATCTCCAAGTTATCGTCTTAGGTCATGTCCTTCAAGTCTTTGTGAAAAATGTCATTCCTAAATGAGGACTATTATAATCATTCTATTTAATAAAACTCTTTCTTTCTTTTTCTTTCTTTCTTTCTTTCTTTCTTTCTTTCTTTCTTTCTTTCTTTCTTTCTTTCTTTCTTATCTATATGATTTTTATTTCTAATAATATTTCTAGTTAATATCAGAAAATAATCAACTTCCCATTTCTCATTCAATATCATTCTGATCTCCCTTCACCTTTTATTATTCCTCTGTACCTAAAAGATGCCTAGCATACTGTAGGGACTCAATACACATCTGTTAAATGAATGACACCAGTACTCTGGAAGCTCAGCAGAAGTGTCTTTAATATACAATGTGCAATATTAGTTGAAAACTTGTTTTTCTTGTTCCTTCTCTATATAGAAATCTCTCTGAAAATGGTAGAGTTGATTTAGGCATATTTTTCTTGGGCCTTTCCTAGGAAAAAATGTCATTTTCGTAAGGTTTACTAGAAACTCATCATTAATTTAGCAGCAATGGTCTGGAGACCAGACAAAAGCCAAGAACAATTATTTGGTATATAATGTTAGTCCACCATCATTTATTTCCCCAGTAACAGGGAGGACACTGATCACCACCATGATGATAACCACCCCCTAAAAAAAAGAAAAACTCTAAAAACCACTTTTAGTTGCTGATATATTCATTTAATATAGAGAAGATTTTGTAAAACATACCCTGAGAACAAAAACAAGCTAACAAATCCTTATGGATAAAACTTTTAAGAAATAGAATGAAAAGTCTGTGGCATACAAAATCAACATTTGAGACTATTAAGGAAAGGAGACAAAGAGAAACCCACCACTAAAATGTTTAAAAATTGCTCTGTTTGAACTTGAGATACCTCCCTGTCCTGGTTTTTCCCATTAGCTTAGCATTAAGAACAAACTGTCTGTTTTCTTTGGCCTACTTGTAGCTCAAACAGCTGAAATTATTTCCTTGGCAATATTTTGTTTTGGTTTGGTTTTAAGAAATAAGAGAAAAATTAATGTTTCCAGGTTATAACCATTTCACACTAACTTTCAAATGCATGGTCTAACAAAATGAACATTAGTGGCCTCTATGTTCAGTTATAAACTATAACAATGAAATCAAATATATTCTGCTAATTGACAAAACTGTGATGATAACTGCCCCTATTTCAAATAGTTCCATGAACTGACCGAAGACTCAAGGAAAAATAAGTAACTGTGTCCCTTCAAGGGGGTTCTAAAGTGTGTCCTGATGATTCCTCACCCAGTGAAGGGTATAACCAATACCAAGCAGGAGAACAGGACTTATTTTCACAGCAGGCAACTATGAAAGAGTATTTCTTTGTTTTGGTGCCAAGGACATTCAGGCTTTACTGCTTGAAAGTACAAGGAACCTGGTTCCTAAAAGTGATTCGATATTAAATCTGAAACCTGTGTCAATGCTAAACAGAGAAAAGCACTGCTTGATGTTGCTGTTACAAAGCCAAAGCAAAGCAACGGCTAACAGGGAAACAGTTGTAAGGAACAGAACTACATGTAATCAGTACCAATTCTGTAAGTGGATTATGGTGCAGATGCTGCTAGATGAACTATGAATAAGGACAGGTGGCAAAAGGAAAAAGTGACAAAAGGAATCTCAGAAGTAAGTAAAAGAACAGGCTATAAAACCATGAAATTTGTTGCAGGTATAGTCACATAAACAATAATATTAAGTCTTCTGCTCTAGTCCATATTATGTAACAAAAAAACTGAAAAGTAATGATCTGCTAATTTCTCAAACTTAGCGACTACTGATGAGTAAAGTTAGTAGCCTATAGTCAAACTATCCTGCTACAACATTTATACAACTAAATATCAAGGCAGCAAGGATTCTACTCCCACCAGCCTCTCTTTCTCCTACAGAAAAAGGGAGTTTTCTTTCTTTTCTTAAAGTATAAACAAAAAAGTTTATATTGAACCATTTTGTAATCCCTGAGTATAAGAAGCATGCGACTATGAGAGTAAAAATTTCTATTTCCTTCCCAATGCACAAAACTAATGTCTACGTTAAAACTTTATATCTGACCCTGGCTGGTGTAGCTCAGCAGACTGAGCGCGGGTTGCAAACCAAAGGGTCGCTGGTACGATTTCCAGTTCAGGGCACATGCTTGGGTTGTGGGCCAGGTCCCCAGTGGGGGCCACATGAGAGGCAACCACACGTTGATGTTTCTCTCCCTCTTTCTCCCTCCTTTCCCCTCTCTCAATAAACAAACAAACAAATAAACAAATACATAGAATCTTTTTAAAAACCCAGAACTTTATATCTGAGATTCCTGTTCTAAATGGATCAAGGGGTTTTTTCTGTGTGTGTGACTTGCATGTTATATCACATGAAAATAAGCCTATTCAATTTCTATTTCATCTGCTCTGCGCCACTTTTAATATTATTAGTGTTATATTTTTCCTTTAAACATCTAAGAGCAAAATCAGCAAATATAAGATGGAAAGACTTTTTTTTAAGAGCTCAATTTCTTAAGTTTATTACCACCTTTACCTCTTTTGTCTCTTCTGGGTCTGAATGATCCACAGTTATATAAAGATCGTTTTGTAAGTATTTCAGTGCACTAAGAGGATCCATTTGGGCCTTTTCTTCAAACCTAGAAAATGTAAACAAGAATAATTGTCTGGAGTTATAAGAAAACATCAGAAATGTCTTTCAGAACTGAAGTGGAACACTATATATGAAGAGTTAGTGTGAATCTAAAAAAAAAATGGCTTTTGGGAATCCAGAAATAAGAAGAGTGCCATGTACACAGTACAGATATGGAGTCTCTGAGATGTAATGGTAATGCCAGGTGGTCATAGGCAGGTATGTTCCTGGAGACTGGCAAGAGCACTTCCTAACCTCCTCTTAAAACCATAAGCTAAGATAGCCCTGGCTGGTATGGCTCAGTGGACTGGGTGCCGGCCTGTAAACTGAAAGGTCACTGGTTTGATTCTCAGTCGGGGCACATGCCTGGGTTGTGGGCCAGGCCCCAAGTTGAGTAAGTGTGAGAAGCAACTGATCAGTGTCTCTCTCACACATCAATGTTGCTCTTCTGTTTCTCCTTCCCTTCCCCTCTCTCTGAAAATAAATAAAATAGAAAAAAAACCCTATAAGCTAAGATAAAATCAATGACAAAATACAGTGAATATGATGAATATTTTACATAAACTGCAAAAAGCCAAATATGTTTTAGAAAAAACAAGTAGAGAGCCCTGGCTGGCATAGCTCAGTGGATTGAGTGCAGGCTGCAAACCAAAGTGTCGCAGGTTCGATTCCCAGTCAGGGTACATGCCTGGGTTGCAGGCCATGACCCCCAGCAACCGCACATTGATGTCTCTCTCTCTCTCTCTCTCTCTCTCTCTCTCTCTCTCTCTCCCCCCCTCTAAAAATAAATAAAATCTTTAAAAAAATGTTTTAAAAATCACCAACAGATGTTTAAAAAAAAAAAAAGTGAAAGCTGCCACCAAATCTCTTAAAACAAAACAACAAGTAGAGATAAAATAAAAATACTTGGTTAGATTTATACAATATACTCACCCCCACCAATGAAGATGTTTAACAGATATTTTAGGAACAGAAATGAATAGTTTCTTTTAATGAGTATTAATGAGTATCATTAACACTGGTTAGATATTTTTAATGAGACTATTTCTGCACCTCAGCCAGTTATAATAATAACAAAACTGCAGCAACTTATTAAACACTGTCATGTGCTTGATACTTTATCAAGCATGTATCACCTTATTTATCCTCACAATAATTTTAAGATGGTAAGTTCTATTGTCATTTTTAAATTAACAGATGAGAAACTGAGGCCCTGAGAATGAATCTGGCCTGATAAAAGCTAGTAAGTGGCAGAAGTAGAAACTAACACAGGTCTATCTGATACCAAAGCTGAAAAGGAAAGAATCAGTTATCTTAAAAAAAAAAAAAAGTCTATTTGGGACTCTATGTAAATAAGAAAATGTCCTTTTATTATAGCATAATTATATATGGATTTATTTATAATAAATTTGTATGCTCTTCAAATGTACACAAAAAAGAAAAACTGGCATTTAATTTCATATGGGAAATGAAAATAACGAGCCTTTCACAGGCTGCTGGCATCAGTCATTTCCTGTCTTTAGAGCTAATCTCAGTGATAGGGTTACCTGTATTGCAGGCAGGGGCAAAGACCAGCAAAATGTTACAGCTCTCTTGTACTAGACAGTACCATGATTGTCAGCCAGCCTTACAACCCTCAGAGGAGGGTTCCTTAGCCAGAGCTCAGGTTACTCTACCATCTTGTCCACAACTGATTAGACCAGACTTTTGGAACCTGAGCCAAAGGCAATCATTTCAAGCTTGATCAGCAGTTTATAAAGTGGCCTCGCAGAATTACTCCCAATAGGGTTACTCCCCAGGGAACTATCTTCTAAGAAGATACTCTTTCTTAGAGAATCAGAATGTGAGACACAGAGGACACATAAAAGGCAGACAAAACACAGAGGTGGTAAAGACAAGAGATGATAGATGCCTTCCCTTCCTTTCTTCCTACCTATCTATGTATCAACTGAAGCCAAAGAGATAAGGAGTTACCGATCTCTTTATCCATTTATTTATCCATCCATCCATCCATCCATCCATCCATCCATCCATGAACGTTCATCCATCCATGAACGTGATAAGGCTGAGGAAAAGCAGAGTCAGGAGTAACCAGTAAAACAGGAGAAGCAGTCAGAAAGAAGCAGCAACAGGCTTGGTTCCAAGAAACACTCCTATAGTAGCTCCTAGCTACTAGAATCGGCCCAGTACCCTAAACGATTCTCCATTATGCCTCACTGTTCAAATGCTGAGGAAGTGCCTTAATTCTCTGGATAGTCTCTTAATAAATTCTCTTTCAGTGAGGTCTCCTAAGTATGTCCTTCTCCTTTGCAATAACCTAACCAACCTAACCTGAAATAAACTAACCAAAACACACCTACCATCCTATTAAATCCAGCAAAGAGACCAATTTCCCTGAAAGTTATGTTTTCTCTTCTTTTTCTAAGCTTTTTTTGGCCTGCAAAAAATTATCACTGGATTTGTGTTTGCAGTCTAGAATTATATTTCAGCTAATAATTCTGCCCTATAAAAGGAACAGGAATTAATGCTATTTCTTCCTTTTCTCCTTTTCTATACCCTAATCATTAACAAGTTTGGAAACTTGAATGTTATAAAAATTAATAATAGTGGCACTTTATTTACTGTATCATGTGGAACCATTAAGAATCAGGAGACACTTGGCATACAATATACCTCCCTCCCTCCAAATTTATACTTTAATGAAATAGAGTAATTGCTTTCCGTAAGAACACAAAAGTAAATATGGCAGCACAGCAGTACAGGGTAAGCTTCTATATAATGAAAGACCTGGTATCTAATTTAACATGAAATTTGAATTAAAAAGGTAATTTTCATGTTCTATCCAATTCATAGAAAGCTACTTCTATCTATTTTGCCTGCAATGTAATAATGCCTCCCAAACTCTTTAATTCATCTAAGAGGTGGTAGAACACAGGGTAGGCTTTTTCAAATGTCAGAGATGGGCCTTTTACTGTTTGTTCAATTTAGTAGACAAGATTCTTAAGGTGCCCTAGAACAGTCATCCTTGACAGTTCTTTCTCTTATACCCATATCAAATCCATCAAGAAATGCAGTTGCTACAACCCTCAAAGTTTATCCAGAATCTTACTGTACTTTCTAAATCTCTCTCATGGAGGATCTCTTCCTCTGCCGTCCTTCAAATGGTGGCGGTCCTCAGCTAATGCCCTACGTCCCTTTATTTTTCTTACTCTTCCTGAGCAAGCTCCGTTTCCTTATTGATGACTCACAAATGTAATACAGCCCATGCCTTCCCCCCAATGCTAAAAGATGATCTCCAAAACATAAAGTGAACCAAACTGAACTATATTAACTTGTTGTTTCTGAAGAATTCCCCATCTGAGTAAAAATAGCTGTGACTTTTTACCCAGTTCTTCTGGAAGAAAATCAAGAATTGTTTTTATTAAAAGCTAAGTCTGAATGTGTCACTCCTCTACTTAAAATCTTTGAATGCTGCCATTTCACTCAGAGCAAAAGCCAAAAGACCTTCACAATTTGACCGATTTTTCTCTCTGACCTAACTCCTACTATAATCACCTCACTTATTCCACTTCTACCATACTGTCCTCCTCACATTATTTCTCAAATAATCCAGTCATATTTTTAACCTCAGAGCCTTGTCTATTATTACCTACCTGGAACACCTTTCCCCTCAAATATCTTGTGTGACTCACCCCCTCATGTTCTTTAGGCATCTATGCAAATATTATCTTTGCGGTGAGGTCTATCCTTACTCTTATTTAAAAATCACACCCCCAGCTCCCTCACCTGTAAAAAAATAGTTCTTAACTGAATTTGTTTTTTTTCTCACAAAGCTTACTATCTTAAACATAAATTCCTTATTAATCTTATTGTTAGTATCCCTTCATTAAAAATGGAAACTTGGGGATAGGAATTTTTGTCTTCTTCACTGACATACCCACAGAACCTAGAACAGTATCTAGAACAGTGAAGGCGCTCAAGAAATACAGGGTCTGGCAGAAGTAAGGCTTGCATGAGTGTGGTTGGTAGGGTACGTGAACGTCTCGCATGAGATGAACAGCAATTTGAACATTTCACCTAAAACATCATATGGTGTGCTTGAGTGTGATATTGTTATGTTACAGTTTTTAAAAATTTTTAAAAGTATATTTCATTGATTATTCTATTACAGTTGTCCCATTTTTCCCCCCATTTATTCCCCTCCACCCTGCACCCCACCTCCCACCATCATTCCCCTCCCCCACTTTGTTCATGTCCATGGGTCATACATGTAAGTTCTTTGGCTTCTCCATTTCCCATACTATTCTTAACCTCCCCCTGTCTATTTTCTACCTGCCAGTTATGCTTCTTGTTCCTTGTACCTTTTCCCCCATTCTTCCCTCACTTCCTCCCTGCTGATAATCCTCCATGTGACCTCTATTTCTGTGAATCGGTTCCTGTTCTAGTTGTTCAGTTAGTTTGTTTTTGTTTCTGTTTTTTTTTAGATTCAGTTGTTGATAATTGTGAGTTTGTTGTCATTTTACTGTTCGTATTTTTGATCTTCTTCTTTTTCTTAGATAAGTCCCTTTGACATTTCATATAATTAGGGTTTGGTGATGATGAACTCCTTCAACTTGACCTTATCTGGGAAGCTCTTTATCTGCCCTTCCATTTTAAAAGATAGCTTTGCTGGGTAGAGTAATCTTGGATGTAGGTTCTTGCTTTTCATGATTTCGAATACTTCTTTCCAGCCCTTTCTTGCGTGTAAGGTTTCTTTTGCGAAATCAGCTGATAGCCTTATGGGAACTCTTGTAGGTAATTGTCTTTTGCTCTTTTTAAGATTCTGTCCTTATCTTTAATGTTGGGTAATGTAATTATGATGTGCCTTGGTGTGTGCTTCCTTAGGTCCAACTTCTTAGGGACTCTCTGAGCTTCCTGAACTTCCTGGAAGTCTATTTCCTTTGCAAGACTGGGGAAGTTCTCCTTCACTATTTTTTCAAAGAAGTTTCCCATTTCTTGCTCTTCCTCTTCTCCTTCTGGCACCCCCTCTGATTAGGATGTTGGAATGTTTAAAGATGTTCCGGAGGTTCCTAAGCCTCTCCCCATTTTTCTGAATTGTTTCTTCATTCTATTCTGGGTGAATGTTTCTTTCTTCCTTCTGTTCCAAATTGTTGATTTGAGTCCCAGTTTCCTTCCCTTCACTGTTGGTACCCTGTATATTTTTCTTTATTTCACTTTATATAGCCTTCACTTCTTCCTCTATTTTGCAGCCATACTCAACCATTTCTGTGAGCATCCTGATTACCAGTGTTTTGAACTCTGCATCTGATAGGTCAGCTATTTCTTCATGCTTAGTTTTTTGTGGAGTTTTGATCTGTTCTTTCATTTGGGCCATATTTCTTTTCTCAGCACACGGGTTACTTTTTAAGGGCCAGAGTCTTAGGTATTCTCCAGGGTGGGGCAACCCACATGGCTATCTTGTGATGCTGTATGTGGGAGAGGGGTCAGAGTGGGAACAATGCTGCTTGCTCAGCTCGTCTGGCTTTCAGTCCCTTCTTCCAATACCCACAATTAAACTGGGACCTTTTGGTGCTGATTCCCCCATAGGTGGGTCTGTGTATGTTCTAGGACCCTCTGGCTCTCTCCAACGAACTCTCCTGTGATTTTGGAAGTTTTCCTGCCACTGCAACCCCCACAGGTTTTTACAGTCTGAGGTTTTGAGGCTTTATTTCCCATGCTGGAACCCTGGGTTGTACAGTCTGTCTCATTCCCCAGTTGTTCCTCTTGGTTTATCTGCACGCAAATGTGGGTCCACCAGCTGCTACCTCACCTGCCCAGTATTCCAGCCACTGCCTTGCCACAAGTCCTCTCCACTCCAGCTACCCATCTCCATCCCTCCTGCCAGTCTGGATGAATGCTTCTTCTTTAACTCCTTGGTTGTCGGACTTCCATACAGTTCAATTTTCTGGCAGTTCTGGTTGTTTTTTGTTTTTAAATTTGTTGTTGTCCTTCTTTTGGTGTGTGAGGAGGCAAAGTGTATCTACCCATGCCTCCATCTTGGCCAGAAGGCCTGTTACAGAATTATATGCTTATGATTTTGTAATAAAAAGGGGTGTTACTTGTGCTAGGCCCTATATTCCCTTAATGAATAGTTTTATTGAAGATTCTAGACCTTTAGGTGGTTGCTCTGGCCATTGTACACATGAGCAATGTAATCTCCAGAAAGATTAAGTTGAAGGCTTGAAAGCAACCCAAGGTTCTAGTATAAAACCTTTTCCAATATAGGTATTAGCTACAAAACTAAAAGCAAAAAGTAATCAAAACCAGAAAAGAAGAATACTCTGTTCCATATTTTTATGCTATTATTACTCTGATTAAAAATAATCTAACCCTGACTAGTGTGGCTCAGTCAGTTGGTTGTCATTCCTCAAAGTGAAGGGTCACTGGTTTGATTCCTGGTCAGGGGACATGCTTGGTTTGTGGGCTTGGACCCCAGTTGGGGAACGTGTGAGAGGCAGCCAATTGATGTTTCTCTCTTGCATTGATGTTTCTCTCCCTTTCTTTCTCCCTCTCTTCCCCCTCTCTATAAATATACAAACAAACTCTTTAAAAAATAATCTATATAAATGAATATTCTATATAAAAGAGTCTTTAATGATTCTTACATTCCCCTTCAAGGGCTCTTCTGGTTCAAGTTTTGAAATGAGCTAGCACACTATCTTTCTCCCAGTAGAAAATTTCAAATGTTGATCATTTGCCCAACCACACAGACTTGCTGCCATTCAATTTTAACCACTATTTCATGGCTCATTCTCATACTCATATTTGCTAGTCTTTCACCATATATTAGATTTTATGTACTTTTTCAGTGGCGGGGAAGGGAGTGCTTGTGTGTATGCATGTGTGTGATGGTGGTGGTAATGGTGGTGATGGAAAGAAGAACTGTGAAGTCAGCATACTCAGGGTCACATCCTGCCTGTGTCACTTACAGCTAAATGACCTTAGATGAGTTATATAACCCATTTTAAAATGCCTCCATTTCTTCTTTTATAAAAGAGTTATAACCCATCTTTACTTCATTGTCTTACTGTGAGAATAACATACACGATCTAGCACACAAACACTGCTCAAATAAATGGCAGCTATTACCACCATTAAAGGCTAACCTTCCCCTTCCAAACTATACATTTTTATCATCAAACATTATCAGTAACCAAAAGGATAGATATACTTTTCTATATGTTTTTAGTAGTTTATCACTTCTAAGGCTAAAAAGCAAACATGACTCAGGAGACACACATAAAAGTGTTTGATTATACACTTGTAATTAAACAGCAAAGGTAATGATATAAAACTATAATCGTATTTAAAGTTGTATTCTGAAACACCAAATTATAAAGATATTATGAATCAACTATATCATCACATTCACAGTTATCAACAGGTCAGGCATACGACAATTATCTAGAACTGATGTAATTTTTGTGGTGGTTTGGCCTTGAGTTGCTTGATGGTGGGTTAATCACCCTCACAGAAACTTTTTCCATTATTTTAATAGTTACAAAATATCCTTTTTCTAAATGTAAAAATTTCAGTATCAGTACCTGTCTTCACTTTGCATATTCCTTTGAAATAAGGAAGCAAAAATAAGGAGAATAATGGGGAATTTACCAAAGTCATGATCTTCACAGTGTTCACACTGTCATGTTACTGTCCAAAAACAAAGCCACATCACCAAAGCTGAGGTAATACTAACAATAGCTGATAAAGTTAAATAAAAAGTTTTCAGTGAATTATTCTTATACCTGTGTTTTCTTATGAGGTACTTGCAGTGCCTCAGTAAGTAATCTTTTGAAGGCCTACACAACTTCAGTGACCAGAAGTCATCTAATCTCATTTTTGGGGAGCAAGATTTTCCTGGATTCCCACCGAATAAATAATGAACCTATAATAAACAAAACAAACAAGATTTTAAAAATGCATGTATACTTAAGGAATTACATAAGTCACAGGAAAATTTCTTCACTTTGCTAGCACTGTGTAACAGGTAACCTCCTTAGCCTTACATATATATATAAAACCAAAACATTATTGCATTTCTACCAAAGGCTTCTCTTCAAATTTTTCTTGTTTCCATTTTACTTTAAATTACTGTGGCTACTTCCTTAAATTACATTTTATATTAAAATAAATTTTATTACTACAATTATACTGACAATAGGAAACATGAAACAAAAGCAATGATAGCATGAAAATTATTAAAGGAAACCTCAACTAAAATTGAAGTTGGGATAGACTACGGAAGTCAATTACCCACACGCTGGAAGACATCAATTACAGACCCCATCAGAAGAGGGGTCACTTCATTACCAAACAGAAAGTGCAACTGCTTTACTACCCCAGCAAGAAGAAGAAAGATTTTCTTCTTGCCCAGCAATAAGCCCAGCCAATTGAAACTCTGTAGCTCAGCCAATGAAAAGTCAGCATCACCTGAACTCTTAATTTCCTCCATGAACTGTCATTTTTCTCTTACTGATGACTCCCTTGTCCCATTCTCATTATTTAAATATGAAATTTAAATAATCATCTGTAGCCTAAACAGAAAAAATGCAGGTTCTGTCAGTAACTTACTATATAATCTGAGAAACAGTTCAAGAAACCATTCTGAATACTGACACTAAAAGTTCAGAATGCCAGACTGTTTTCACAAGGTGGATGGAAAAGAATGTGTTACTCATAGATAGGAAAAATAAAGATAAAAATATCTCTTACACAATAAAATCTAAAATCAGGAAGTTATATATACCTTTTCATATCATGGGACAAGGTACCCAAATGCTGAAAACTGTACTCTTCCATTTCAATACTCATACTGTAGAAACAACGGGCCATGCTATGTAGCTCATCTATGCACCTAAGAAGCAGCCACTGACCATTTTCAAAAGAGGGAAGTGCCAGGAATTATGGACTATACACAAGTGTTTATTCTTTTAAAAATTTGGGGGGAAAATGATTAAATGTCTGCTACATATTCTATTAAATGTCTGCTATGTATTATAACTTTTTACTCAAATCCACTTAAAAATAATCAGAAACATACATTTTGGGATTCTTTCAGATTGTAGGTCATGGAAAATTTATAGGTAAATGTAGTTAGGATACCTTGTGTAACTCATCATATACAAGCTGATGGGCAAATCTTGGACATGGTTCTTCCTCCTGAAGACTTTTAGTTGGATTATCTTTTGCAGCCTGATCATTTTTATAGACACAAGACCTGAAAGACATTGCTTTTAAGGTATGCTATCCAGGAAAATCAGCGGTACACATAATGTTAATACAATTGTAGAGAGCAAATTAATCGCATGTCTGATTACCAACAAAACAATTATACATTTGTTTACACCAAATTTTAAAGTTCTGGTCAGTCTATAAAATAATCTGAGTTGTTAGAATTGAGTTCTCAAGTTCTTTTAATGTTCATCAAAACATCGCTTAAGAACAACCTACCTCATGTTATGAAACAAGACATGTATGAAGGCTCAAGCGGAAGGCTGAAAGAGGTAATATCCCATCTATTCACAATAAAAACCACAGCAGATTGTTTTCATTCTTACTGTAAATAAATGTCACGTTTAGAAAAAAATAAATTCCTTAGTTGCTGAGCACTGCCCTCCATTGCTGAAGGGAAGAAGTTCTCTGAAGTGCCTCTGTTTTGCAGAATATTTGCTTATGCAACAATCACAGAATGTTAGGCGGGTGTTTCCCCAAACAGTAGCTACAGCAACAGTTCTGTGCGGTGCTCTGGGACAAAAAGGTCCTGACTTGAAAACGCTAAATAATAATGTCTCCTGTCCCCACCCTGCTGTAGTCAATCCGTTTCACTTTATAAAACCCAAGAATTAGAGCCCTGGCTGGTGTAGCTCAGTGGATTGAGCGTGGGCTGCGAACCAAAGTGTCGCAGGTTCGATTCCCAGCCAGGGTACATGCCTGGGTTGCAGGCCATAACCCCCAGCAACCACACATTGATGTTTCTCTCTCTCTATCTCCTTCCCTTCCCCCTCTAAAAATAAATAAACAAAAAAAAAAACAAAAAAAAAAACCCCTAAGAATTAGGAACATTACAAAAAACATTGTCCTAAAGTTCACACACCTGTTTAGTAGCAAAATCTACACTAAAATACAATTTTCTTGACTTCCAGACCAGGAACCATCTACAAATTGAACAATTCAAATATAAAATCCATTCACTGAATGCCAATGTATAGATATAGGCACTGATTTTGACTTTTTCCTCCAACACTGGCATTTAAATGTATCACATCAGAAATTAACACAAGCCTTCCAGTTCTTTCTTCTTTTGAATAAACTAAAAACCTCCCGTAAATGTTGCATTGGAATTGCAGCACAGACAAGAGCTCCTTACCAACTATTCCTCACAATGTCATAAATCCAGAATGAATTTCTGACATTCTCTTCCCTCTTTTCCTTATCTTTGCTGAGTCCAGATAGGACATGTATTTCATTCAGTTCTGGATCAATGGTTGCTCTCTGTGTGAATCCCGTCATTGGAACTATAAAATGAAAGAAAAAAAAATGACAATATTTGTATTAGATAACAGATTAGCTCTGTTAAAGATTAGTACATCTTTACCCTGCTCTGCAGTAGGGTAAGGCCACAGCATTTATTTCCCAACACACTACATAACTTTTATATTAAACAATAAACAATTGTTTATCACTTTCTCCCCATTCTAGGCTATTAGCTCCACAAGGGCTAAGGTTGTTTGGTTCACTATTTTGTTCCTAGTGTCTAAAACAGAGCCTGGCATATAGTAGTTATCAACTATTTGTTGACAGAAATAATAAATGATAACTCCCAGAATGGAGCCAGAAAGAGGAAAGAGGTAGAAGGAAGTATGCAATGTAATCATTTTGATTGAGAAAAACGGCAATACTTGAACTGATTTATTATCTGAGTCAGCTGTACTTGAATAATAGAGAGAAAATATTCAAATCTTGACTTGGAAAAACAGAATTTGACAAAACTGGAACAGATTTGTTTAATATGGTCAGAGTCATTTAAAACATAGGGTCTGGCACAAATAACACCTTTTTTTAAATTATAAAATCTTTTATTACAAAATCATAAGCACATAATTCTGTAACATAACAATATCATACTCAAGCACACCATGTGACATTTTAGGTGAAATGTTCAAATTAAAACTATGAATTATTACACCCTTATTCTTACCATACCAACCACTCAAGCAGGTGTTACTTCTGCCGGACCCTGTATTTGTCCATAAGGTACAATGAAGTACATTTTGGCATATAATATGCCCCAAATGTTTTCCTGAATGGATGGAACTCCCCAGAGCTAAAAAAGGAATTCCTTTTTTAAAAAAGGAATCCATTAAATGAATGATGATCGTTCTGCATTACCCAGAAATCTGTAAAACATTAATATGACAAATTCGAATTGTTTTCCTCATTGTCATTTGGAAATATTAGTTGAAATACAATTTTATGGCTTGCAACATAATTGCTGTGTATCAAAAACAATGTCATTGTTTCAACATTACATTTCTTATAGGTGAGCAATTATCATATGCTCAAAAAGCTAAACAAACATCAAAGTAAAGAAAAATATTTCAACCAATCCAGGATACTATGGTAGTAGATGATATCCATACTGATCTTTATTTGTCTTTATCTACTTTAGTTAAGACCAAATAATCCTATATTTATTTTTCCAAGTTTACCTTAAATTCATGTGTCCTTTTATATTCCTATTCAATAAATTTGTTTGAGGTATTTTAGAGACTATCAACATGTATACCACAGTAAATATATTTAAAAATTACACACAAAAAAACACAATATATACTTTGTATGCATCCACAGACAAGTATACATATTTATACATATCCACACATTGACTTAATCATCGTACCCTCGTACCACACTCCTTAGAGGTTATGTAAAGTCTGGTACCCTTGTACCATACTCCTTAGCAGTTATGTAAAGTCTGGTATTTTCTTATTAAAGCTTGGTAAAATTTCAAAGATGCCAAAATTCCGAACTCTATTCCTTCCTAAGAAAATCTTGGAAGAAAGATAAAACTGTAAAGAAATGAAATCACTTTTTTATTAGTGGTGGAAGTGGAGGACATAACTGCCTAAATTTACTGCACTTAAATTTCTCTGTCCCCTTCTGTCTTAACACTGAGCCTTTGAATTAAGAATTCTGTAACACAGGCTGGCAAACTACAGCTTGATCTGGCCTGCCCAGGGTCAGATGAGGCCTTGTCCATGCATTTACATGTTGTCTCTGTCTGTTTTCATCCTGTAATGGCAAGCTTGAGTAGTTGCAAGAGAACACTTCCACTGAGCTGTCAACACTTTCTTAATGGTATCCTTTGAAGCACAAAGGTTTCTCATTTTGATAAAATCCAATTTATCTTTTTTTCCCTTTGGTCATTGTGCTCTAGTATTGATTTTGTGCTAGCCAGAGTTACAGTGACACAGTAACTCATCATAATATGCTAAGTGCCTACACCAAGACATTGTTCTTTAAAGCAAAAAATAAAAAATTGCAGCCAAGTGAACATATTAAACCACTAGGTTCAATATTGGTTCCACATTATCAAGTTATTTCACATCAATAAATCTTTCATCTTTACAGATGGTAATAAAATTCTATAGGGTGTAAAAGAAATAACTGTCTTGAGAGAATGCTTTCTTTTTAACAGCATTAACATAAGAGCTCTTAAAATATTTTAATAATACTATCCACATTTATAAAGTAATCTCCCACTTAAAAACATTCATTTGGGGTTACTTCCCTATAATACAGAAATCAGATCTGTGTGTTCAATAGGTTTTTGCGGACTAGCCTAGGAATTTAAATACCAATAAGTACTGTAAACAAAAGGGAACAAAAGTAGAAAATCTTGTTCTAGTCTAGACTTTCCCAATTAACTATGGGTGAGTTCATCAAGAAACTTTTTTGGACCTCAGTTTTCTCATATAAAAATTGAAAGTAGAGCTACATAAAGTATTGGATCTCTTCAAAATTAAAATTTCTGTTGTTAAGACTCAGAAAGGTGACTGCAGTGACAGGATGACAATTTTCAGTAACATTAAACTGGTATTAGTGTTCAGCACAGATAGGCAAAGTAAGAAACTTGAGACAAATCAATTAGGAGGCTGTTATTATAATAGAATGAAAAGAAGGTATTACAGAAATATCAATAATCACTGTATTCACATATTATCATGAGCACAAGAAGGGCCGATATTATAAGTATGAAAATCCCTGAACAGATATAACAGAGAAAAGGCTTGGACCAGAAACTTGTGAAAAAGAAGAGTAAAATGTTTCATGAATTTTTTTGGAGGTATCCAAATATATTACTCTAAGAATACTCAAAGGCAAAATCTCTGAAGGACAAAATTTCTATTAATCCTTACATTTGCAGACCCTTACAAATACAATTTTCACTGCATACAACAGACAATGAAAAATGTTTATGTGTCAAATGTTTGCATGTGAATAGAAAAAATATGAAGGAACACACACCAAATTATGAACAGTAGTTATGGGGAACAGGGGTTAGGATACTTTTAGTTCCTATTAAATCAAATGAATTTTTCCAATATACATTGCTTTTATAGTTATAAGAAGGAAAAAAACCTCCAAAACAAAATACAGAAAAAAATCTGGATGGAAAGACTGGAGGCTTTTAATAATAAGTGAATAATTTTCACACATCCTCCCAAATTTCTCATGAATAAAATTTACATTAATATTTGGAATACTGTTATTTAGATGGAAAGGAAATCCAGGTTTCAAGACAGTTTTACAGGCATGCACAAAAAATGTTTGTAAACCATTTTGCTGGTATGATAGTTACCAGGTATCACTTTATAAGAGTTAAGGGTTCCTATAAATGTCGGCATGTTAATTCAAACTTATACTGAATGTACAATATCTATCTTAATGGTCTTTTGCCTAAGTTTTACAATTTGCAATTAATACTTCCACTCCATTCCACATACAGTGACAATTCAAAAAACATTTCAATAAAAATCTCAACAAAAATAAAGTTTTCTGTATCTACCTTCAAAAGTAATCTAGGTTTTTTAAGAAACTTTGAAAATGTCCATTTCTGTAATACTCTAAATCTAATTTTGGAAACCTCCTTTTTAAACTGGAGGGAAGAAAATCTATTTTTCATTTTAAAAAGATTTTACATTCTTACTGAAGAAAATTAAAATGTAAAAATTATATGCATATATATGTGTATATGTACACATACACACACATAAAAGAACAATGGTCTAGCACTAGTAGGCATTTTAGACTTAAATTTTACTACTAACTGAAGCTGCTTATGAAATCGAACTGGGCCTTTTGGATATAAACAGCAAACCAACCACTAACTACATTACCCTCTTCGCCATTAACCCACTAAATTGGAAGAAAAGTTGGTCTAGTAAAAAAAAGAAAGAAAAGAAAAATAACACTAGAAAAGAACTGAAACCATGTCAACAAGAGGTAAGAAATTCCGAGGAATCTTGAAAGACAGAAAAAGCACAGCCAAGAAAAAGAGAGCCCAACTCACCAGAGATAAAGATGGAAAACTTCCAAAATAAGTCATCAAATACAAAAAGCAGGAGTAGACTGTGAAGAGGACTCCTGTGGAGAGCTTCTAATAAGGACATTGGGGCCTGAATAAGAATGAGAGCAGAGCTTAAAGTAACTCTTAATCCTCACAACAACATTAGGGGAGGCTGGCGGAGGACGCAAGGGAGCTTTGCTTTGAGGCCTGCTTATGTGTTCTTTAAGAAAGCCTGGTGGCTAATATGCACCATAAAATTATGCAAAACCCTTGGTCAGGGTCTTATTTAAGGGAGAAGCCTACTGTAAAAATAGACCTATACAATGCATAAGAAACCACTATCAATTACCTTTCTTAACTGATGTAGCTCTTTATTCATAAATTTTAATGTTTAGACGTGAGAACGATATCAACAATGCAAAGATTGGGACCTACATGAATAACCAGGAGATAATAAATCACAGAAAGGAACAGAATTTAGAAAAAAATAAAAAACTCATTATCCTTGTAGAAAGTCAAGAGAATATTACATGCATAAAACAAGAACAAGTTTCCGTAAAAAGAAGCACAGAATATGAAAGATACTAAGAAAAAAACCTGACAGAAAAAAATCAAATGACAGAATGAAAACAAAACAGGCATAGTTAAACACAAAGTCAGCGGACTTAATACAAAACTGATAAATTACTAGACTTATATAGCAAAAACATATGGAAATTATGATAAAGAAGTTAAGGGACACAGAGAATAAGACACTGAAGTGAAAAATCTGTCTGAAAAGAACATCAGGAGAGGTGTGAAATAACGTAGAAGAAAAAAATTTTTAAAAATTTCCCTAAACGGAAACAAGTGGGTGTACTGTTTGAAAGAGCCCTAGATGCTAAGCTTCTAGCGAGAGAAAAAGCAGGTTACATACAGAGGAATAAGGATGAAACTAACAATGAA